AAGAAAAACAGATATGCACTCTTCTCGTGTTCGAGTCAAATAATTCATCCGAGAGCATATACGCGGCAACAGCTATCATCAAAGGTAGATAATTAATCGAGTATTCGAGTGTTTGAACCACCCGAAGATGAATATTTTAGCGAGTTAAATCATGGCTTATTTAGAAAATGAATATTTCTGCTTTATATCAAATTATAGAAAATTTCATTCTAGTTTACTCATATTGCATAGCTAATAGTAATTAACAGATTGAGACATTGCGTTTTTCATAAATCAAGATGTCACCCTATAGGGAATTGATATTAGCATGCCATAAGTGTTGAAAAAAACTGATGTTGGCCTAAGCTCTCACCCTCCCATTATTAGTACATTTTTTGAATGAATATAATAATTATTTAACGCACTACACTACTAATTGAACTGAAAAAAATGAAGAGAAATTAGTTCTTTCACAATTGAATAAATATAAATAATTCTATACGTGATCATAATTTAACTACATATAGAGAATCCTACGACAATCGTCGATAAAAATAGTTTCCTTGGAATATCAGATAAAGCATGTAGAAATCTGTAGAGCAGAGGTATTGTTTATTATCGAAATTAAATTATTTTTCTAAGCAAGGATGATGATAACGAACTAATAATGAGCACTATAGAGTCAATAGAAATAGTGACTTGTTCTTTTCGATGTAAGTGTGTTGTATTCATTGATAATTTAGTAATTGTCAAAAACAAAAATGTGATTTAGTTTTTTTTTTAATTCAGAAATTCATATTATGATAAATTACAAATAAACATCGAAGATTTATAGATATAATTTACTATTGGTATTAATATCAATAAGATGCTTGAATAAATAGGAAGGGAACTATTAGCTTAGTGTCAATGTAGTTGTAAAAGTATCATGAGAGAGAGATGAGACCTTTAAAAGAAGATTTTGCTATTGATTAACAGAAGTTTATTTTCTTAAAGTAGTTCAAGTTCATTTAACTTTTCATTAAGATTTTTCAGTCAAAAGATTAAACTTTTGAATCAATTTTTGATCAGCTTTGAAATAAATGTTCGTAGCCCAATGATCATCAATTTTCAACTATCTGAGTCATGCTATATAAGTAGACTTTCATCATTTATTGTGAAATAAACTTTCCTTCGCTAAAAAAAGGCACATAATTTACGTTTTGTTTTCATTTATATATATATATATCAAGTTCATACAAGCAAATGATTTATTTCGCAGTAAATTAAAGTTTTCTCTACTGTAAAATGTACCTTAAATATTAGAGATTTCTAATGGATAGATTGATCCTTTGTGATTATATTCTCTTTCCTCAGTTAGACACGTCGTTCTTTGTGCTTGGTTTATAATCATTCAGAAATAGATTTGGTCGTCCAAACTGATGAGTAGAAAAGGCAGTGTTTTATTTCTCTATTTGATGAGAAAAAAAATGCAAATAGCAGATAATCCAGCAAGCGGAAGAATGAAGAGGCTATGAAGATAAAAAAAAAAATAGAAGGAGAAAGTATAAAAGACAATCCAAATGTTTTCTTTTCCTTTTTCTTCTTATTCTTCGCCTCTCCGTGAACCGTTGCCATTGCTACAATGATAAAGGTTTTTTCACATTAATTCAGTTTCAAATCAGTACATTTTTAGTGTCAGCGGATTATTTAGTATTTATTAATCTATTCAGTAAAGATAAATGCCGATAATTTCCTCATGCTTAAAGGTAGAAAAGGTGTGTATTAGAATTACTATCGCTTACATATCTATATAAACGTTGAGATAGAAAATTTGTTTTATTGCCATTTCTCTCTAGCAAGGATTCTTTTATTCAGAGAAATGACTCGCTTATCAGCTATGTGTAAAATGAGCAATTAGCTTAACATTCCGCTCACTTACATTTCTATTCCTAGCACTTTGTTTTTCGCTATTTTAAATTTCCCAGATAACTTTATTAGTACACATCTATTTAGCGCTGAATCTTTTATGTAAGATGGTATATGCTAAATAAAGTGATATAATTATTAAGTAATATGCATTCTTCTGATGTTTAGAAATGGTGAAAAAATAAAGTATTCAAGTATTTCTATGAGTTTAATGTGACATTATTATTTAATAGAAGTCGTACGAGAAAAAAAAGAAAAAGACGGATATTTGACATGAAAATGAAGTCCGTGATCCATTCAGCTGTTACACTGTAATGAAACACTAGCACCTCATTTTTATTGTGTAAGACAATTAATAATTCTTCAGTTTCACTGAATTCATTCTATTCAATCGTTTTTTAAACATTATCCCAGAAGACATTTTTCTAGAATTCCTTTATTAGATCTTACATGAACTGTGGGTACCAGAAAACGGTGTTGTAAACGATCTTAAATGAAGTAAAATGGCAAAAGTTGACTGCAAGATGCCACTGTTTTATACAAATTTGTAATATAATTAACATAGTACGAAGAGTAGTGACAGTTTACTAGTAAAAAATGGCTCATAAAATAGGCTGCTAGAGTCCTGTAAAAAAGTGAGAGAAAAAAACAGTCAAATTAACGCAGTAATACACCATTTTATACACGTTTAAGATATCGTTTCCAATGATCGAAATGATAGCCCTAGGCAGTTAACTTGACAAATTTATTCGACATTTTGATATATCTATATATCTATATCTATATATATAATAAGATGTATGAGAATGTTAAACTATTTATTTTGGAGAAAAAGTTTTTCAACTATGAGTATATGCGTGTATTTTCACATCGCCTGTTTGCTCTTTATTGTTTAGTAAAATCTCATGTTTCTGATTTTCTTTTGTATAATAAATGGTATTTCTCACACTTCCATTCTTGATATGAATGGCCAATTCATTTTGCTTTATTTATAACTAAAAATGATAAAGATCGATTTATTTTTTCTTTACATGAATATGAAAGAGACTCGCTTTAAAACAGAAAATAATGTAAAGTGATTCCGAGAATTTTCTTTTCTCTTCTATTCTACAATGAAAGGGAAAATTTAATAGATGGATAATATTCTTTCTGAAGCATGATTTTCACAATAGAGAAAACAACATTGCATTGAATTCTAAATGATAGCTGTATTATTATTGTTATGCAAAATTAGAATAATATTGAAAAACTGATTTTTTTTTTATTCACTTATTTATGACAGTTTTTTCCAGCAATTAGTTCAATATGATAAAATCTTTACTTTTCAGAAACGATTATATATTTATGTGAGTGTGATTTTTTTTTCTTTCAAGTAGACTACTTATCTTTTTTTATATTTAAGTATATAAAAGTATGCATAATAAAAAATACTAGGCATAGCTCATAGTTAATGCATATAATCATCGGAACTTGAAGTATGAAATCAACCCGACTTTCTCACTCTCTCTCACTCTCTCTCTCTCTCTCTCGTTTTTCTTTCTGTCTATCGAAATAGCAATCGATCGAGTTGTGTCTTTTTCTAGAAACTTTTTTCATTATTTTCTCTTCTATCTGTCTGATTCCTTTCCATTTGTCGGCATGTGTTAGTAGTCAAATCAACTTCTTGATAGAGAAAAAGTAAACGAAATCAGCGGAAAGTAAATAGAAACGGAAGAAACCAATGTCAGTCAATTTTCTTGCAAATTCGTTTTGTAACTTTTGACTAGACGTCGATGAAAACTTTTTGCGTTTCCTTAGATAATAAATAAGATATATCGTTGTGGCTGTTAAATAGATTACTAGACGAAGAAAAATACAGCATATGCCACGTAGGTTAAATGAGTACACATTAAGTAATAGTTTTCGAATTCGTTTTCAAATAATACATATAAAAATATGATTCTGGTTTCTGATCGATAAGTCAAAAAAATAAAATAAATATGATTAACATCATAGATTACAGTCGACATTTGCCAATTAGAAGAACGAAGAATTCTCTATTCTCTATTAATTTTTATTGTAAAAAAATGAATATTTATATTTTTTTGTCAATGTTGTATATTATCTGAGAGTTCTTCTGTTGAAATTTGACTGTAATGTAATACTATTGTCTTTGTCTATTTTTGAACGTTAGAAAATCTTATTTTTGTAAACGATACAACATAGAACGGAAAATTCTATTGGATTCGATCATCAATCATTCTATCTAGTAGAAAATGACATCGAAAAACAAACGGTGAAAATTCGCTTCATCCCGAAAATTATTTCCGCTATTTTTTCCATATGCCGTCATGGACATTTTTTTTGTTTTCTTTGTTCTATGCTACTTGCATAACTTTCAATGAAAATGCTGACGCTCAAACAAATATAAGTCAATATTGAGGTCTTCTTTTTCTTCGCTTCCACAAACAAAAGGCAAAGAGCAGAAATGTTCTTCGGTTTTTTTCAAAGACTTAGATAGGTGTTCTTTAGTTCCTGCTCTGTTATTTTAAAAAAGACGATATATTATTACCAAAGACTACCGCTTGGATAATTTCTTATTACCGTGCAATAAAGACTGATGATTATAGTAGAGCACAGAACAAATAGTTTTCTGAAGATTAATATTTAAGTAGAAGAGATTTATTTCGTAATTATCCGATTTTATTTCTAATAGGACCAGAACATTTGATTAATTTATGCTTTTCTCTTATCCAGCATGCATGATATAGTTTACATGCATTATCTGACAAGTGAGATGAATCGGAACAATAATCATTATTAAACATGACACTATATCTATATATGCGACTAAACAGAAACATTAAAAGTAAGATATTTTCTATTATTTCTATCGTTCAAAGAAATAAATTTTCTAGAAGAATCAACACTTCGGAGACTAGGTTTTTCTTTCAGTAAATACTAATATTTCCCATTGGAGTAAAAAAACAAGATGTTCATGTTAATATGATAAAGACGAAAACTGAATAACAGTCGTCCGAATGTTTTTTCCATTAAAATTTGTAACAAAAAGGAATATATTATATGATTATTATGCTGTTTCTTTTCTTTTTAGTAATGCACATATAGAGTCCATGACGACAGAAGATAATTATCTCGAAGTTGTAGAATTAAATGTAGGTGGTGTAACATATGCAACAACATTAGCTACATTGCGTCAAGCTGAGTCAGATTCACCACTTGCAACAATAACATCAACAACATTTGGACGTGATAGCAAAAATCGAATATTTATTGATCGAGATGGTGTTCTTTTTCGTTATATATTAGATTATTTACGAAACAAGAGATTATCTTTACCGGAAAATTTTTCTGAGCGTGATCGACTTCGTCTTGAAGCCGATTATTATCGTCTGGCTAGTATGAGTCGAGCATTAGGGCAAAATCATCCATATCTTAATTCGAATGGAAAACATCTTAATGAAAATATAACTCAGATGACATCAACAACGAATGCACTCGATCTCAATTCATCATTAACTATTTCACGACAGCCAGTATCTCGCTCTAATAGTGGATATATTGTTGTCGGTTATCGAGGTACTTTTGGTAAGTAAAAATGTTTTTAAGAAAAAGAAAACATTTAGCTTAGTTATTTTTTTTTCGAATAGCTTTTGGTCGAGATGGTTTAGCTGATGTTAAATTTCGAAAAATTTCCCGTATACTTGTTTGTGGTCGTGTTCATCTTTGTCGTGAAGTATTTGGTGAAACATTAAATGAATCACGAGATCCAGATCATGGTCAAACTGATCGATATACATCTCGATTCTTTCTTAAACATACATTTCTTGAACAGGCATTCGATTTACTCAGTGAAGTTTCATTTTTCATGGTAAACTATAAGAATGAAATAAGTAAAAAAAGAATAATTCAATACTTTTGTTTTAAATATAGGTTGGCTGTGCAGCAAGTGGTTGTAGTAGTTCAACTAGTGAAATAGGAAAACAGACTGATAATGAAGAAAACCGTTGGCTGCATTATAATGAATTCGTCTTCTATCGCAGTTGATTTCCCTTTTTCTAATTCTTGCTGCAGCCTGCTTTCGTTTCATTTTATTTGACTAAAATATAAACAATTGGTATACAGATTATTATTTTCTTCTATACTCGTATATCTTTGAATCTCTATAGTTTTCTACAAAAAGAAAACATAAAGAATAGAACACAAATAAAACATGTTGTTGTACTATTCAGCAACTACTTATTCTGACTATCTATATTTGTAAATTATTGAAATTATATTTTCAGTCTACCGGAAATCGAAAATATAATTTTTTTGACATGGTAGGCAAATTAGCAGAAATATCTTCAATTATCTATAAATAGAAGAAATAATAGTGAGCATCTTATTTTTATTGTATATCTATTACTAATATGACTGTTTTGTTAATTAAATGAGCATTTGTGTAATTTTTCCGTTGCTCTAATCTTCATCATTTCTAATCAATGTACTCAAATGACTACTAACTGTTCGCTCTAAGTATCGGTATAGAAAAACATTGGAATTTTGCCAACAGTATCGTAAATAAAATGAATCGATATGAACTAGCTGAACATTTTTATTCAATGTACAATCCGTTACCACGATGATAATTACACAATTCATATGCTGAAGATATTTTAAAAAACTTTTTACGTGGCAAACATTAGACCATCGCAAATCGAGTCACGAGACTCCATTGTCGCATATCATTATTGAAAGATCTTGATATTAATTCATAAGAATCATTATATTAAAGAGATATTGTCGAAGATTTCTTTTCGTTTGTATTTGTTAATCATTTTTCATTTGTAATGAAAGCGAACACTTACAAGTAAAAAACAAATACACAAAAAATCTTCTTAAAATTGTTTTTGATCAATAACTGATCAACGTTTCATTGACTGTTCTAACTAATTTGGTAAAAAGTTTTATGATCTGAATTGAGTTTTTACTTGATTATTTTTTCTGCGAGACAAGAAAATGTTTATGATCTTACATTAGAGATTTCTCTTTTCATCCTTCAACATATCATTGAAATATTTTCCAGTTGACCTGTTCAATAGATCTCAAATATGTTGAAGTCCAATACAGGAAAAAATATGACTATGAAAGTCTTTAATCTAGCTTGGTTTATTGCCGTTTTTCTGTCGGCACTATTCATTAAATTTTTTGCTGTTACTACTTTTTATCTAAATATTCAGACAAATTATGTTTAGAATAGTTTGCATCAACAATATGAAGAGTTTTTTTTCTAAATATACGATTATAGATCATTTATAAGTTCATCCTACGATATGGAATATTTTACAATGACAGCCTTAAGATGGCGATGGTTTCCATAGACAGATCAATGTTACATCATAAAAATAGTTTTCTAGAATGAAAAGCTTTTATTCAAATAACTTGTTTATATTGCTATAGAGCAAATTAATGTTGTTTCAGGAAGCAGCCATGCTATAATGGTTCGAAGCCAAAGCACCCTGTTGAATACGAAGTGCTTTTGAAAAGTTTACTAAGCTATCATATGAGAGATCAATATGGCTGCGAGCAATATATTAAGATAAATGATATGAATGAAGAATATTCTTCTTTTTTATTTTTTGAGTTAATTAAATATGCATTTTCATCAACCACGATTGTTTTCATAAAACCATCTGGTTTATTCAAGATAATTATAAACAGAAAAACGTTTTTTCTTCTTTGTGTAGTGCTTGATCAATATTGCTCTTCAGAATTCTTTAGTCTTTTGAAATCGATCCATTATATTCAGTTAAGATAAGTCATAAAATCTAATTTGTGTTCTTCGTGAATGAGTACTGCTTCATACAATGACCAATATATAATTTGACCTATATGCCTAGAAAAAAATCAAAGTGTTCCTGAAGTTCGATGAATGTACAGATGATGTTAGACCATGATTCGACGTGCAAATGTTGTATTTCTATAGCAATTATAGAACTAATGAATAATAGAATTTAAATAGACCACAACAATATATGCGCCATGAGATATCATAAGTGACCTCCATTGATTTCTACTTTTGCTGTAAAACTATTGAGTAATCAGAGTGATCATTGTGTTGCAATGCCATTGTTTAAGAGAACACGAGCTTACTTTAATTTAAAATCAATATTTTAGTGTCAATCTTGATCACCGAAACATTATGAAAGATGCATTGCTTTATAAATCAACAGGTAATTATTCAAGAGAAATGCATGGAAAAGTGATAGCCACGGACTAAAAACCAATTTTCAAAAACTTTGTAACGAACAAAGTTTGAACTCCTGTTGGAAATAAACAAAAAAAATCCTGATAACCTCTAAACGAACTAAAACCAATGAATACGTATATTTTTATAGAATGCTGTAATACAAGTGCCTGAAACAAATTAGAGCCGATCAAAATACTCGAACTACCTGTACTTGAAGTTCAAATACTCTAAATGATGAGGGCGAGAATAAAGTCATTTGTCTGCTTAAAACATATTTCAGTTTTTAGTGTTGAAATGAATTCAGCGGCCTTTTCTAATAACACCACAATTACTTATTTCGTCTCGTCTCTCGATCAAGTTTTTTTCAAATTATCAAAGACTGCTATTGGATTGGTTTCAACACACAAAGCAACTATTTTGAGATTAGACAAGTAGATTATTTGTCTTCATCTTTTCTGGTGAATTCTGTGAGAGCTCAGTAGTATTTTTAAATATTTGCCACTCAAAAGAAAGAACATCTTCTATCAAATTATTTGTCATTCGCTTGTAGTTTGCTCTTAAATACATAATAGTTTAGTTAATATAGATATATCTCAGCAAAAAGATTGTTGATGTCTTTTTGCATCAGCATATGGCATGCTTTTATTCAACATATCCTCGGAATATTTAATACGTTTTGTAAATATATAAATGTTATATTCGGCTTTTTTCTTTCTTATTTGTTTCAAATACATGAATGATCAAAACAGAAAACAAACAGTACGGATACTATCGAATGTTGAATATTTTCGCATGATGATGATTTTATTGCTTAGAATCGTAACTTTTGGAAGAACCATTTATGTTTGCCAGTTTTGTATCTAAAAACATGAATTAAATTTGGTTTGATAGAAATTTTTTTTTCTTTTACCGCTCTTCAAATTTTTCTTTGGCATCTCGAATAGCTTTTCGTCGGAGGCCAGCATCACGAAATATATCTTTATTGATTAAACTTTTTTCGAAGTTAATGTCAACAGTATATCTAAAATATTTTTTTAATAAGGGAACATTTTAGGTTTTGTTTATTTATAAAATTCCTCTTTTTCTTTACCGAGTAGCCATTAAATGATTATAATTAACAACTTTAACAAATGATTTGATTTTATTACGACGCGCTTGTTTCTTTTTTCCCATTCGTTTTGTTACCTTTCGTGGATAACGAGCAACACCAGCAACCAGTGCATGACCATAACCTCGTTCGTTGCTACCATCATCATGTGGCTAAAGAAGAAGAAAAAAATACAAATTATAATATAAATAAGAATGGAAGCAAAACTTTTACTTTAATTATCACAGCTTTGCGGCCAGCATAACGGCCAGCTAAAACAATGACAACTTTCTGGGATTTCATTATTTTCACCATGGTGAATTCGATGAAAAGATCTGAAGGATTAGAAAAAAAAAACTTAAAAATTGGTTCTAGTAAAAGAAAACAACAATAAAAACTAAACGAAGGTATATGAATGAATGACTGACGAATTGTAAAAGCATTTGATTGGTTGATATTTTTTTGTCTGTCAGCCTCTGTTTACTATATATGGAGGATCTCTAAATAGAATTGGATTGACCAATATTTGAAGCCAATCAATCAATCAAATTAATTCAAAGCTGAATATTTATTATTTTTCTTTTCATTTAGATAATTAAATGCCTCTTATAAGTTCCTATTTAGCTCGATTATTTTTTTTACCAACTTATGGGTAATACAGTGGTGATATTCAGTCGTTGCTTTCTGACATATAATTTTTAGGTATACTCAATTATTGTCCTATATTGGTATTCGAAAGAGTTACGATTATATCGATAATACAGTTATTATTGGTATATTACCAACTATTGCTTTACAAAAGTATTTGATTAAACAAGAAAAAATTGATGCTGTCGTATCAATGAATGAAGATTATGAATTAACGTGAGTGTTGTTTCTATTAGTCATTTGAGTGCTAACGAATCACATTGAGTACGCTTCTTTAATGGTTTCTTAATTTTGGAATTATTTATGAAAGAAAGATATCTTGGGGACTAGTGTGAAATCTTTTTAACAAGTATGAATCTATAGATATTATTCATCTAGACTTTAATTATTATATTCTAACATAATCATGTCACATTATAGGATATATAATAAAAAAGCATGACCCTGGAGTTCTCAACTCTATATATCTATCTACTTATGCTGTGATAGTAAATGCTTATTTTCAATCAACTTCTCAAATGATAAATAATCTAAACGTGTATGTGCGGCATAGTTTCGAATTGAACTTAATAGCTAATGTTCGATCGTAGAATAGTTCGATAACATTTTTTTTTAATTAAAAAGAGTCAGAATTACATTTAAGTAAAATAAACCTCATAATCTCTCCGTCGTTTTAAGTTTTATATGATAGGAAAAATGAATCTCCCAAATCTTTTGAATGATCAGCATTCGTTGACATGAATTATTATACAAGTTTAGAAGCTCCTAATTATCATCTTCCAAATGAGATGAATTCATCAGTCAACTTTCAATGTGCTATTATGCTCATCATTAGTCGTTGTTCAATAAAGAATGATATTCCTACCATTGTTAATAATTTTGATAGATTTTCGTTATTTGCTATCTGATTCTGTCAAATGATATGAAAATTTGTATCAAGTACGATAAGTAACAGTTCATCAATGCCCATGTCAGTAATAGTAAGATCTCAGTGTAAACCCAATAATTAGACAAGGATAACCGTTCGTGATTTATTATTCTCAAATGATCGAAAGAGGAATTCTTAATGCCGTTTTGATTTTGACATATCTTTCAGATCTATAATTCAACGCACTTTCCAAACGATTATTTATTCAGATCTCTATAATGAGTCAACAAATTTTCGTATCTACTTGATCAAATTATATAGGATTTCGTGTGATTTTAGAAGATTTTCTTAATTTTTTTCATGAACCTTACCTAAGATAATACGAGAAAACAGAAGACGATCGAATGTGTTACCTGTCGATTATTGCAAATTCTCGGTCACTAATTCATATCTTCATCTAGTTATTTTTAGTCAGCACAAGTATTTAATTCACTCTCTACATAGATCGAATCTTTTAAGTGACTAATCGATGAAATATTCTATTCTCTATTCAGATATGTATCGGATCAAAGCCTTTGGACTAAACATGAAATTCAACATTTACGTTTACCTACACTTGACTTTTCGAATCCTCAAATTGAAAATCTTTTTCGTGGTGTTAAATTTCTTCGAACAGTACGTAAAGCAAATAAAACAGCTTATGTACACTGTAAAGCTGGTCGTCAACGAAGTGCTAATTTAGTAGCATGTTATTTGATTGATACCTATGCAATGGCACCAGACGAAGCTGCTCGTCATATTCGTTCAATTCGACCAAGCACTATATTTGGTGTACAAGAAATAAAACGTTTAAATGAGTTTGTTGAACGTTTACGAGAAGAACATTATAAGAAACAACAGGAACAAAACGAAAAGATTCAATCGCCGACATAGATTTATCGTTTATACAAGTACAAGTATCGAAATAAATCAATTTTTCATTTGTTATTCTAGATGAATGTTCTATCACCAAAAAAGAAAAATGTTTATCTAGATAAAATAAATGAAAATTTAGCATCATTTTTTCGAATTATTGATAAATTCGATCAAATTCTTAATGAATTAAGTCAGCTGAGTAATGGAGCAACGATTCATATAAATGATATAGAAAGAATTTTCGGAACAAATGATGATGAAGATAACGGAGACGAAATAGAAAATAAAGAACAACGATTGGTAATTCATTATGAAAGAGAAGCTTTGGCTGGTGAGAAATTATGTCAGTTAAATGAGAATTTGAATATTTCAATGCGGGAAATTCGGCGATCCTGGTATGTATCATCCATAGAGACAAGAGATCAAACATTCTCTGGAGAAAAATTAACCCTCAATATACCCCAAAATGTCCAATAACAGAGGCATAATAAAACCGTTGTTGAGTGAATAGAATTCATTCGTATACATATTGATACGTATATGACCTTGTACTACTTACGATTGATAGTATTATCTCTATAAAAGGCTTGTGTGACGGTAAATATTCTGAAATTGATTCAGGATTCTCAATAAAATGTTTCTAATTTTTAAAAAATTTCTAAGCTTCCGAATATAAAAAACAGCATCTGTGTAGGTTTTTTTCAATACTAATTTATCCATTCATTTTTTTGTGTCCTTGTTTTATTAGTCAAACTTTCATATTCTTTATGAATAGTAGAATAATAATAAAGATAAAAATTGTTTCCAAAGCTAGTTCAAAAGAATATCAGTCATAGTCCTGTGAACACTAAATTTCATTTTAGAGAATTTGGGATTCGTTTGATCAAAACTTGGAAAAAAACCACGTAGTAGAATTTTGAAAAATGTTAACTACGACCGATCATCCTAGAGAATGATTTTATTGATCCCTAGATAGAGTAGACTTTGTAAATAATTTCCATAAAAAAAGAATTAAAATTTTATTAAAATACTTTAAACTATATTCCATAAAATCATTAATAGATTTTTTTTTTAATTCTTTTTTTCACTCTTTAGGAATACACTTGAAAAACAAGGTGCAGCAATAACAAAATCAGTCTTTCAATTACCTAAACTTATTCGACTATTTCTCGATTCAACTAAAAACGATCTCGATTTCAATGATTCATATTTCAGATGTGAAATAACTCATCTTAGTAATCAATTTCCTGTTGTTGGTCAATTTTATTATGAGTTGTAAGACGATAGGTTCTATTGTATTCCTCGAAGAAATCAACAATAGTCTTGTTGCTTGTAGATGTCTTGAAATTCAAACCAATCTTATTGATTTATCCAATATGAAAAAAATAAAACATTTAGCAACTATTTTAGAGTTACTTTCATCTCGAATGATTTCGATTTCAGGTAGAAATGAAATCCAGTTTGTATTTTGTTCGTTTTTATAAATTCCTTTTCGTTTAGCACCTATCCAGATTATTCGTCAAATACAAACAAAACTAACTTGATTTTCTCGTTTCAGATGTAATATAATGACAAAGTTTATATTTAAACATTTACGAATTCTAGCTATTACAAGTGTTACATTGACATCATCCTATTTCTTATATAATCATGATCATAATCAAAGACAAAATCGTATATTATCTTTATTAAAAGTCGATGCTTCTAATTATGTAGATAAAAATTGATTTGAAAAACAATCTTACTAATCAAATATTTATTTTTTAGGAACGAAGAAATGAAAGAACAGCATCTACAAAAAGCCATTTCATCGAACAAAAAAAAAGAAAACTCGCCGATAATGATGATGATGATGATGATGATGACGAAGATGAAGATGATGATAAAAATGAATTGGATAAAAACGATGAAGTCAAAACCAATCCGCGTGAAAAACGTTTTCGTGAATTTTCTTCTGTTGAATACAATGGAGATATATATATGGTATATTGATCTCGTGTTAATGATTATGCGTTCTATTTAAGCATGATTTTCTTTAGACACCATTGGATTTTCTTGAATCAGTCATTTCAGAACGACCAAGACGTATGAATGAATTGCATATCAGTAAACTTCGGTTAACATTGATTCTTTTGTTTAGCTCGTATTGGCCGTCGACAATTAACAGATGCCATGGTTGAATCTATTTTATATAATACACCACCAAAACATCGAGGGTCAAAAAGATTTTTTCGAGATCTTGAAGATGCTGGTGAACTTTGTAATAATAAATATATATTATTTATTTATTTTTGTTTTTATTTCAAGGACTTATCTCGTTTTCGGAATATTTATTTCTATGGGTGATTTTAACAAGTAATAATCAATGCTTGAAATCAATAAGATTTATTGATTACTGTTATTTTAGAACCTTATGCACAATTCGAAATTGCATTTGCTATGTTTGATACAGATGGTAAGATTGAACTAATAGAATATAGTCTGTTTCAATAGTTTCAAAATATAAATACAAGATAGATAACTTTTAAAAATTGTCATGAAACATCTGACATAAAATCAATCATAGAAAGACTTACCTATCTTAAACTTTTTTTAATTAAAATGAGACTATCCAGACTTCAGATATGTACTAGATTTATCAAATATCATATAATCATTAGAATATATTATTCACGTCGAAATTAACCTGAATACTATTGAAGTGTGAGAAATTGGTGACAGATATGCTTTAATAAATATAAGGTTAATGAAAACATAGAATTCATGGTACCAAACAGTTTTCACTTATTAAAGGAAAATGACTCGGTTCTAGAAGAAATTATTTTGTCATAGAATTTTTCGTTGATGTTTCTAAAAGCAGATTGACAATAAAACAAATTTGGAAATCTATTCTTCAAAGTGAAACAGCAGCATTTGTAGCAAGTGTTTCTCTCTACCAAACTGAATCATTAAGAGTTGTTTTGAATATGAATTGGGTAGAGTTTCATCGAAATAAGAGATTCATTAAATTGGTATACTCTCTCGAATTTCTCTATTGGATATTTAACAACAATCTAGTCATATCGTCTTGTGCGAAAGTTTCTGGACAAAATGTTCGTTCATTTTCCGATCAATTGCAAGAGTTAGCCAAATTTTAAAAACATTGTATTGCAATCAAAATGTTGTGTTCTCTCGGAATCTGTGTTCAGAATTTTTGTGAGGCACTCAGATTAGAAATTATACTTGAAGTTTTGAAAGGCACGAAAATAACGTTTGGACGACACTGCATGAACTGAAAAATTTAGAGACGGAAAATCCTATCATGTCCGATTTGAAATTGATTAAATGATATTTTTCTTATTTTCTAATTAAAGATAGTCAATATAACTTAGTTCCAGTTCCCTTTGCTTAATCGCATAGCAGTTTGAATCTTTTTCGATCAGAATTTGGGTTATATACGCCCTCCAAAGTGATAATTAATTTATTATATATTATCCATCTTTTTTGACAGTGTAAAGAGCATGATGGTCCTCCAGAAGCTGAGAATTGATAGTTTTTCACCAGTTTTTCAGAAACAATGGAGGTAATTTTGATATGTGAAAAATAATCATTTCCAAAAACATCATTGAACCTTTTGCTAAGACTTACTATTCGACGAAGCTTCAAAGAAGACTAATTATTAGGATACAGTTTTATAAGAAAGTCTTTGCTGTATCTCTTGCAGTATGCAGAATAATTTTTTACATCTATCTTGGATTATATTTTTGATATTGAAAACCGTCCAAACGTTATTTTCATGCCTTTCAAAACTTCAAGTATAGTTCCTAATCTAAGTGTCTTACAAAAATTCTGAACACAAATTCTGAGAGAACACAAAATTTTGATTCTAACAGTGTTTTTAAAATTTGGCTAACTCTTGCAATTGATCGGAAAATGAACGAACATTTTGTCCAGAAACTTTCGCACAAGACGTTAGTTGTTTAATCATATCCCGCCTCTACTAAAGTCATAGTAGATGATCGTTTAAATTAGTGTATTAAACAAACCGTTTATTTTTTAATATAAGCCATTAAATAGTTTCTTTTTATATATTCTGTCATATTTGTCATGAGAGCCTTTTGTATTCTATACATGATTAGTAGGCTAATAAATAGACGCAACAGATGTTTTGCAATCATTTGTCATTTTTTAACGACACTTCAATGGAGAAAAAAATCTTTGATGAAATCTTTGTTGAAGTATACAACTTAAAACCATAAACAATTTTGACAGGAAGTTCTTCTTGTTTACAGAGGAAATAAACCAAGTCTTTTTAAAAATTTTCATCCGTCTTCAAAATGAAATTTCCTGTCTTTACTATTTATACTATCCTTCGAGTTTATGAGTAATACTTAATATCAAATTATTTTTCTACACAGGAAACCAATTAGTCGATAGAAATGAATTTCTTGTGGTATGTTTACAAGATTCTATTTTATTTTTGTTGTTGTCATAGTTGATTGATTTTGAATGATTTTAATCTAGCTTGGAAAAGTCATGAGTGATAAACGTATGTTACGACGACAAGCATCAAAAGGAGTATCAAATACAAATATAAATTCTAAAAATGTAAGTTAAATCAACATATTTGACATTTGATTCTTATTTGTTAATAAGTGTTTAATTAATGAAGTAACAAAGTATTTTTTGTGTGCATGTATGTGTTTAGCTTTTTAATATGTTGTTTAATGGCAAGAAGAAAAAAACAATAAAAACACCATCTAGTATAAAATTAGACGTCGTACGTATGAAAATATGCATCAATGTTTATCCAGTTGCACTGATGAATGAGCGAATATAAAATGTAGTGCACGATGCAAAATTATTCTCGCTTGTTGTTGACTATAATTTGGTTCTTGGAAACTTTTTATATCTAATACTTGAATAGAATGACTTGATAATAGTGCTTTCTTCTACACATTGCAGGAGGATGGAGAAATTAATACAACATTACTTTTACATTTTTTTGGAAAAAATGGTCGTGATACGTTAAATTTTACAGAGTTTAAACGGTATGATGAAGAAATAAAATATTTATTGTATAAAAAATAAATACTTTATTAATTCATGTAGGTTTATGGAAAATTTCCAAACTGAATTACTTGAAATTGAATTTACTGAATTTTCACATGGATTTAAAACAATATCTGATCTAGATTTTGCTGAAATACTTTTACGTTATACAGATTTTGATCATGATACAAAAACAAATATTTTAAAAAAAGTGAAAAAAACAACAATTCAATCACGTGTATGTAGAAACAAGATGTTGTTCTCTAATAAATTCATTTAATTTGTATCGTGCTAAATAGGGTATTACGTTTGAACAATTTAAATGTTTCTTTGCTTTTCTTAATAATCTTGAAGAATTCAGTATTGCTATGCGTTTTCATCAATTATCCAATAAACCTATTTCACAAGGTGAGTACACTAAGACTACGATCTCAATAGCTAAGTATGAATGTATAACATATAATTGTCAAGAAAATAAGACTTTTTTTTAAAAGAGTTACTGTATATCCAGATTTAATTTAAAAACATTCATTTTCTTTATGATTCTAGCGGAATTTCAACGAGCTTTAAAAATTTCAACTGGATTTGAGCTTGAACCAAATATAATGGGTCTTGTTTTTCGAATATTTGATACAGATGGTGATCAACATTTGTACGTAGATTATAGTTTATATTGATCAGTTCGAAAAATTTATCTATTGCTCTCGTAGAAGCTACGATGAATTTATGGCTGTTATGAAAGATCGTCTTTCTCGTGGTTTTCAGGTTTAGTATATTCTTTGTAATTATTTCCATATTGATTGGTTCTCTATCTATTTTTGAAGGCATCTACAGATAACGAAGTATCAAAATCAAGTTTTGAACAATTTAAACACTGCTTTCGTGAACGAGCTAAGTAAGTGAATATGTACCTACTACATTAAGCAACGAATGAAAAAAATTTCACTTGCATATGCTTTTAAATACTCATTACTCACGTTGTGTTTAAGCAAAACTTCTCTATTTGCATCTTGTTTATATTTAGAGAATACTGATCAACTAAATTAATTGATTTCTTGATTCTATGTGTGTTTTAATAATAATAAAAAACTCAATTTTACTTTCATATATTGCATCTGTAACTTTGGCTCAATATGAAGAAAAAAAAACATCAACAAGCTTCTTTTTTATTATTATTTATTTTCATCTATTTTGATATCATGAACTTCTTTAGATCTACAATCAAACACCAAAAAAGAATGGCTTAGTTTATGGAAAACTGAACTTTTAATGTAGCTTAGACTTTTTAAATGCATATATATTATTATCTCTTTTTTTTGTTTTTCAATTTTCATTTATTTTCGAAATATATTCATATCAACATATATATCGTTATATCAAAAATAACTCATTGTCTCTTATTTTCGATTTCTAGATGTACACATCTCTTGACGATGGACAATGAGTTAAATTTATGCCGAGTGACATTGGACGACGGAGAGTAAGAAGACAAAATATAATTTAATATACTACATAAGATTTTATTTTAAAAAAACGTTTTAGTTGTGTACAAGAACGACAACACGAGACAGATGTTATTGTTGATAAGTATTTATCATCATCGTCAACTTCTCTCTCAGGAATAGATGATGAACATAAACAACAATTTACAGAAACCCCAACAACAACTATTAAAACGAAACGTACAAAATGGCATGTATATGATACAGTTGCCAAGTTCTTATTGAAAAATCGTTTTTACTTGAGTGCTCTCGAATTCTATACTGAATTATTAGAAAATGGATATGATTTACCGCGACTGCGTGAATATTTTTCTAACCCAGCTAATTTTGAAGGTCCCTCGGCAACATCAATAAATAAACAGTCAACATTTATACGTAATCTTAATCATTATGCAGATGATTCTGTATCACTTGGTGGTGGTGGCAACGGAGATTTCTTTCCTCGAACATCAAGCAGTCAAACATTTGATTCAACTTCCATTGATAATATAACGCGTTATTCCGAAGATATCGATTGGCATAATGGAAACGGTAATGGTGGAGCAGCGACAAGTGCTAGTGTAGTTGGTGAATCGCGTTTTAATGATGAACGTGTTGCTGTTCTAGAATTTGAATTAAGAAAAGCACGAGATACTATACAAGAACTAAGACAAACACTCACCTATGATTCAACGGATGAACAACAACAACAGCTACAAAATAAAAAGGCAGATGACAGGAATGCAAAACATCAAGGTGAATATACGTATATATGTGTAAATTTCTCTGTCATATTTTTACAATTATGGTTAGTTTTTCATATATGATGATGTCTATTAGGTTTTAACAGTTTTTTAAAGTTCGGTATCGTTAAATTTTTCCAGCGACTTTGACTGTTGTAGAACACTCTATAGTCTTTTCCCAAATCTAAATAGCTGAAGTAAGTTGGTAAATGCGTTCGATAATGTACTTTCTGATTTTTGTGCAGATCAATATTTAAATTTAAGTTATTGAGGATGCAAGAAAATGATGCATTGCTTTCACTTAGTGATACATACATATAATAGTGTAGTTAAGGCCTGAATATGTTACACACACAAGTTTTCTTTGGATGACTAAACGAAAATGAAGCATGGAATTTTTATTTTTCATTTGTCTTTCAGCTCATCTATTGTCATCGAATTCTGCACAAGCACTAATTCCAACAGGATTAACTGTTCGACCATTTGAACGTCGTGCATTAAATTATTTAGTCAATGAATATCTTCTAACGAATAATTATAAATTAACTAGTGTAACATTCGGAGAAGAAAATGATACATCAGATTTAGAAGATTGGGATAGTGTTGGCTTAAATTGTTCAAGACCACCTGATTTAACTCAATTATATCGTTGGTATTATCATCAATTATGTATTGAAGATGAAAAACCAAAAAAAGAAAATTTTTCAATGTTAGTTAATTTTGATGAAAATCTTTATGATGAATATAAAAAATTTAAAACAGTAGTTCATCAAATGGTAAGTTTAGTTCTTTACATTTCTATGTTTAGTTTATTTCTATTATTTTTTAAAAATTATTAGCAATTTGACGTAGTTGAATATAATAAACGAATAAATCACATAGAAGAAGAAAAATTAAATCTTAGCGAAGAAATTCAAGCCTTACAACATGAAAAGAAAAATCTTTTAATACAGTTACAACTTCTACAAAATCGTTTAACCTCTGATGCAACATCGAATCTAACAAAAATGGAAGATACAATACAATTGAATTCTTCCAGACAATTACCACAAGTTTATCGATGTGCATTTGAACGTCACTTATTATCTTGTCCTATCAATGACGATAAACAAGACGAAGAAATGGAGATAAATCATGATTTTGAACAGAAAGCATTTGAGGACAATATTCATGAATTAAATATTCTTTCGCTTGATCAAAAAGATTTATTAGATTTAATTGTTCGAACTATTACAAAGATTAATTCTAATTTAAATGGGTCGAAGAAATTAGTAAGTAATCAAATTGAATTTGAAAATATTGTTCTGTTTTGATTTCAACGAGGAAATTCATAATAATATTACTAAGTCTATTTCGATTGGTCATATTTATTAGCAGCATGATTACTATCCAATATTCGAGTATACATTGATATTTTTGTATGTTTCGTTTTTTTGTTGTTGTATAGGACCTTGTCCCATTAGTAACCTACACATCTATATTACATCCAAAAACTGATGAACGTGATCGTTTACTTAAAACATTATTTAATTTATATAAAAGCCCTTCATACAATCAACGGCAAGTTGTATTACATGCTTTTCTTTGTTTTGCCAAACAAAGTGGTCCATTACGTGTACACGCTGAATTATTACCACAATGTTGGGAAAACATAAGTAATAAAATAGATGAACGACGTTGTCTAGTTGCTGAAGCATGTGGAATATTAGCGCCCCGTTTACCCGTAAATTTATTCATTTAAAAAGAGAAACATAAATCTATAAAAATTATTTTAATTCTTGTAGAAAGATATCCGTGTGAGTTTAATATTTTCAATGTTACAACAGATGCTTGTCGAAGATAAATGTGATCAAGTACGATCTGTATGTAGTAAAAGTCTGGCAATGGTTATTAATGAAATCGATGATGAAACTCGATTGTCTCAAGTAAAAGTTTTTATCTTTCTATATAAATGGCTCTACTTATATTTTGCTTTTACTATAGTGTATTGAATTACTCGATCGATGCTTATCGGATACATCTGATGTTGTACAATCAGCTAAAAAATACTTATTACCATCAATTGCAATATGGTGTCTTGAATTAAATAAACTTTTTTCAGTTTTAATTGATCATTACTTGAGTAAAATTGAATCTCTTGTTCTAGTTAGTTTATATCACTATTTTATTGTTACAATTAGAATAATTCTCTTCGTTTCTTTTTTCTACTCCTTTAGCATATTCAAACACCATCGTCAATTGATAGTCAACGCTTTATTCAATTGATTTATATCTTAACTGATTTAATAGTATTTATTTTTGCATCTGCTTTACAAAGTATGAAAATAGATCACGATCTTTCACAATCGACTTCGTCTGCAAGAAGTTTACCCGATACAACATCATCAGTATTTTTTCAACTACACACAATTCTATCTCCCAATAGTGAAAAATTACTTGAACATTATGATCAATGTGCTATCAATGGAGAATTTCCATTTACAGATCAAATCGAACAATATATTGATGTTTTGTAAGATTAGTGAAAAATTTCAATCTGAGATATATATATATATAGATTTGGTTTTTGGTATTTGTTTAGTTTAAAACGTTCATTTGATACAATCGCTGCTATTGATATGATGAATGGAAAATTAGTTCATGCATGTAGTGAATTTATCAAGACAATTAGTCGATATTTTGGAAGAAATTTTTGGAAATTAAAAGTAAATAGAAGACTATTAATTAATTAATTTGTTTCATCTTTTACGTTTTTACCTAATTCAGGATAGATATAATGAATAATAGAGATAGTTCAAGGACACTTCTATTGCGCATCCATACACTTTAGTAAATACTCGTTGAGTTCTTTGACTGGTCATAGAACAAGAGACAACGAAACGAACCATAACAAGAATAAGGACTGTAGTATTTACCATCGACTTTATTTTTTATTTTCTATGTTTATTCATATTGATTGAAGAATTCATCAGCGTCAATAGAAAACTGATCCAAATCGACTTCGGCTCAATGAAAAAATCAGTTAGTGTATATTAATAAGCAATTAGAAATGAATCCGAGATAAATCATAGGAATCCAAAAAAGTTGATATGCGATAGAAATGTTTAGCCAATATTTTAAAATCATAGGAAAGCAATTTCTATTCGTTTTTATGTATTCATATAGATTAAACCACTCTATACTACAATCAATTCGCCTACATCGCAAGATGAAATTCGATGTAAATATATGCAAGCTCAATAGAAACTTATTTTTATACATTATATTTTTTTTAGCAACAAAATTTGTTCTATACGCGACTGGTGTCTTATGTTCTTGGACAACAGAACAAGAACGAGCCGAATTAACTCAATATATATATGATGCACTTCTTCTGATTGCTAATCAAAAATTATCGATAAATATTTTACAAGCGATGTATTCAGAAATTGGGTAAATGAATTTTTGTTATTTTTGATTTTTATGTGTTTAAATTTTAAATGAAACTTTTTTAGAACCGATGCTAATTTCCAAGACATTCTATTAAGTATTCTTCGAGATTCTCTAACAAATACAAATCCACAAGTTCGCTTATATACTTTACAATTATTTAATGTAAGTTTTATCATTTGAAGTAAATACAGAATTTCGATCCTTTTATTTAGATTACATTGAGACTTGTTGATCATTCCACAATATCTCATAAGATCTTGCCAGCTTTGATTACACTCGCGTCAGATGATGATATGTAATTATCTTATTTGTTTTTGGTAAAAAGAAATATTTCAGATTGGTCTTTTGCTTTCGCTATAGAACTGTTCGAACAGCAACTATCCAAGTATTTGGATCAATTCTTATTCAATGTTCAGAGTCTGAAGTAAGATTGAAAAAGAAATGTTTTTTTATTAGACCATGTTCTTTATAAAAACAAAACTGTCATCGAGTTCTATTGATTTTACTAATGCACTAAATCAGTGTTCTCTTTTAATATTTGAGGACTATTCACATAGTTTTCTACCGCGTATTTACATGATTATTCCGACAGTTTTTTTCCTAAATTATGTGAACAATTATGAAGATACTTTCAGGCGATTGACCATTGATAATGAAGATCGTTAACATGCTTTTAGTTACCGTATTCATATTTCTTCAGTCTTTAGGTGATTTATCTCTCCCTTCTTTGTAGACTTAACATAATCAAATCTCTAACCTTTCCCTTCTCCATTACCAAAAAATAAAACGAGACTACAGTCAGTATTGAACCTGACAACTCGGATTATTTCCAATGCGTGCTTATATTCAATTCTGGTACAGTACATCGGATGAGTAAATAGTCATAAACTATCTTAACGAACCAGAAGCAGTCGATGCGCAGGTCATGGTACATAAATGTTCTTCACTCATACTCTACAAATAAATTGGTTTGATACATTCAAAGAAATCTTTCTATATTTTTCAAGCAATAGATTGAAAACTTCTTATATCTATTTCGTACAAAAAACAAAATTTATTCTGAATTACTGACACCAATATTTTGTTTTTGATTTGATGTTTTAATTCTCGAATATGGTCTCTACCAGAACACGCGCGAATTTTTATTTTATTACATGATCGAAATTAGATTAACAGAGAATAAAAATATATTCAACTTATGATTGTTTTTATTTGTTTCTTAAATTAGATTCTCGAACGAGTATACGCCCAATTTCAAATATTTGATACGTAAGTAAAATTTTATTTCTTTGTTTTGTATGAACTGTATTTAAAATTGTTTTTAATCAATAGTGATACAGCATTTCGTGATGAACATCGTGTTCAAAGTGAATTCATAAAAACGTTTACTCAAATTGCACCTCATGCTGAAAGTAAATTTCGTGAAGAATTTATTCTCCCGTTTTTAGCATTTATTGCTTCTCAAAATTCCCAACAACAGTCAGAACGTGGTCAAGCGAAACGTCTTGAAATAGCCACATATTTATTTGAAGCTTACAGTGCATTGTCTTGTTGTTTTCATTCGGGTCAATCGATACTAAATAGTTTTTTACCCGGTCTTTATTGTCTACGTGTAGATTTTGCACAATTAAGACCTGATAGTGTTGCTGTACTAGATTCAATTATTAAAGATCTTGAACATAAACTTGAACAATATCGACAAGATAGGTTTGTTTTTATTTTTAATTAAACAAAAACATGATTCAAACATTGGACGTATTGATTTAGTTCATTATTGATCGGTGGTACAAATCTCAATCAGGAAAATATTCGAGGACGAATGCTCAAAGGTTTAACGAATTTTCGGGATTCAACTGAAAAATTGACTTATAGATTTATTAAAAAGAAATAAATTTATCACACTGAGCTTTGCTGATCAAAATCATATTTTTTATTTAAATGTTGTTCACATGACGCACTGACCGATTTGTCTAAAATCTAAATATTTTTTTTTGTTTCTCTGTATATTTGTATGAATTTATTAAATTTTTCTTTTGTGTAACAAAAAAACATTTCAAAACGAACTAGAACATTTATCGTATACATTCTTCATTGATCAAGCGAAAAATACATTGTTTAGGAGATAATCATTGATCTACACGAGTAATTGAAAGGAAAATTTTCAAAATAACCACTTGTACAAGATGATTCCAATCTTGGGACTATTTTGTTTTGGCAAAATTAAATCTATCATTCGTGCACAACAGGATTAACATAGAATCCTATATATATATTTCACTAAGAATGAAATTTGTAGTAATTAGTTGTGTAAAGCTTATTGACATGTTCCAAATAGAAATAGGAAAAGCGATCCCAGTCTATATTCTGTCGGGTAAGCATTGAATACAGTTAGCTCTGTTCAGTTCTATGAGCGAGTATCATAACATTACTTCATTTTGTGAATATGATGCATATATTTATAAGGCTAAAACAAAATAGCAATTAACTCTATGAATATAATTGTTAACTAGTAGTTTGCAATGCTGAAATAAAATATTTTAATCAAAGATTAGCTCAAAACTTGCAAAAAAAAACAGTAGTTAGATAGAGAATTTCTTTTTCATCGATGGTATACATAATTCATCAGCTAAATTTCGCGTGAGAGAAGTGACAAAATCATTTTGTTATTAAATCTGAATCTCCCAAAAAGAACCAAGTCAAATCAGGAATAGTCATATCTATAAATAAACCAATGTAGACCAGAAAAATAATGAAAATTATGAATCATCTTGAGTTTGTTTCTGCATTTTTGGTATCTTCATTACTAGCACCATCAATTGTTTTATACAATTCAGCATAATCATTCGATAGCGAAGTTTTTAAATGTTGCCCATACGTTTGTGGTTCATAGTTAGGCTGTTTATCAGTTGGACACCACCGTGTACCTAAATCCAATTGTGGGTCTCAAAAAAAGACGATAGAATAACGACCTTGACCAGAACGATTTATAACACGATGAGGAGTTGCTAGTAAAACAATCATTTGCCCATTTCGAAGCGCTATCACCAAGGTTGAGTTGGAAAGCAGTTTCACTATTTGATGTAATCATATTTGGAGCTGAAATCCATTCGCCATTCGGTGTTTTTATTTGTAAACGACCCACATCATCTTGAGATAAAATAGTAATGAAGCCATGATCACAATGTGGTGAACTACCAAAAACACCGTCTGGTACTGGTGAAGATTGTGGTGGATGATGAAGCATCCGTAAACCAATGGATCGATGGCCACTGAAAATGTGAAGAAAATTGATTAAAATCATTTTCACTTGCAGAAAAAAAAAACTTTTGTTAATTCAAGAGCTAACTTTTCTATTTCATGATAATAAGTCAAAACTGCTCGACAAAATTCTGGCATACCACGAGGCCATTGATTAGGACCCTGTAAATATCGATCATATAAATCTTCTTCTTTTAAATCAAATGGTCCTTCGAAATGTTCATGATTAATAATAAATGATTCGCTTTGGTTTGAAGCTTTAACAACTGTTTTTGTATCTTCAACTAATGTACCTTTTTTTATCATATATGATTATAATATTTGATAGCTATTCTTTATTAAAGTCTAATTTAGTCTTATCGATAGAAGGTTTATTTTTCTGTACTAATAATGAACTTCAAATGAAATAAGAGAAACGTTCGAGGATTCTACTTTATAGTATTTGCTGTAACAAGAATCATTCTTATCATGGGCTATTCTATTATTATTTTCAATTCCCCTATTTTTGAGCTGTTCTCTAGTAAAAATTCTATCTCTATGATATTCAAGATTAAAAACACAAGATTGATAGCAATCTACATAGACACTAAAAATATCAGTGTGCCTGTACTTTAAACTGTAGTTAAATAAACTTGAAATATTTCATTTCTAATGCCAAATGATCTCATTGTATGACATTTATCATAGTGTCTCGTAAAATATTTTGAGTAGCCACCATTCAAATATGACAATATGTATTAATTGGATTTGAGTTAAGAAATAAAAATAAAAAAGAAGAGATTACATATTATATAGTTTATTTTATTCGATAAGTTAAGTAAATAATTCCACTTTTATATATGTTACAGTTGACATGATAATTCAGTTGAGATTGGAATAATAGATTTAATTAAAGATAGAGAAAATAGACACAAAAGAGAGCGAAGAAAAGAAAAGAAAAACAAATTTTGAAAATCAAAGTGCAAATAAAATTATATGAACGATATGGAAATTTTTTTCTGAATTAGATTTAGCAGACTATTTTCTAATCGATCATAAATAAGATTTCTTTTTTAAATAGGTGACCAAAACAAAAAAAATTTATTTGTTACTGTCCATTTATCTCAACGCGCTCTCATATCACTTGTATGAGTCATATAGTAATTATTGTGGGTTGTTGAACTGATACTTTAATATTAAAAGCAAATGAAATACTTCGTTGATTATGACAATAATGTTGCACCATCAAATAAATACTTATTTATCCGAAATTTACACTTTAAAAATTTAGTAGAATCTATTAATATCTAATTTTTTTGCCATCATTTCTTTATTAGTTTAACTTTTAATAATTGATACTCGTCACTATGAAACAGACAATGATGAGACATAAATAACGAAGTTTCTTTTATATAAGCTTATTATTTTTATTAACGAAGAACGATTGTAGATAATAACACATCAAATGGACTACTCATATAAGAAACTTCTTTATTAATTTCATTAAAAATTAAAAACTAAAAAAAAAAACATTTACTTTCCTTTCAGATAATTCGATATAAACTCTCGTTCCATTTCCCATCCCCCCTGCTCGAGACCCATACTTCGAAATAACGATAGCGAAAATCTCTTTCTTTCTTTTCTTCGAATACAGAACGAAAGAGAAAAATCAATGTCCCTATGTCCCAATGTCCCGCGTATTAAAATAAACATCTTTTCAGAATCTTTCTCATTTCTCTCTCTTCAATCATGAAAGATTGACACAATCAATCTTGGAAACAAAAACGTGTTTTTTAAATCTACATAATCAATCAAACTATATCATATCACTCACTAATAAAATTTTATTTCTATGAATCACTCTCTCATAACATTTATAGAATAATGAACAATTCCAATCTCAACTAGATTCTAAACTCTACTGCCACATCTATATGAATGTCTGCTTGTTCTTTTCCTGATATTTTCTACATTTGACGTTTTTGAAAGATCCTATATACGATTACTAAAATCCTATATTTATGATTTAGATGGAAATAAAAGTCTACTTTTCACTTTAAATGTATGATAACGAATTCCATCGTATTCAGTTCTTGACGTACCATTTATTTTGTGTATTTTCCGATTGGAATATATTATTTAAGAGAAAATTAAACGAAAGGTGATTTCCGAATGGTGCACTTTACTAGTAAACTTCAAAATATAGAAAGATAAATGAAATTTTCAAGTTTTTTTTCTTTGATTCGTGTGAATCTATGAAACATCTTACACAGAATTTTCGTTGAAAAGAAATCAATTTGCTAGAAGAACTTAAGAAACTATTCAATGAGAATTATCTAGTATTCTATTTGAACTTTTGAATGAATATCTATATTTTCCGAAATACGCTTTACATAAATCAATAAAATGTATATCGACAAGAAATTATTTGATCTAAGAAAATATTAAATGTTAGATAAATGAAAAATAAGTCATAGAATGCAATATCGATATTGTGTCTAGGTTTAGTTATTTCACTGACGAACTGTTTAACCATTAAAAAGATGGCACGCTGCTTTATTGTTGTCGCTTGCAAAATAATATCAAGGTAGTATGAAATAATCATAAGAGCAAAGTGTAGAGTGAAGACTATTGTATCAAGTGATATCTTATCATCGATAGAACATGCATGATAATGATGATGATGCCTATAAAATTTTTCTTTATATGTTTTATCGTCATGTAAAAAGTCCTATTGTTATTTATGTGCATGGCTTTGTGGTGACTTGTTTAGTTAAATTTACTTCTTTTTTCATAGTCAAAATTTATGACGCATTTAAAATTATGTTTCAGATTAAATTGAGTTGAAAACATGGATAACGAACATAACATAAAGTAGGTAGATCATTATTCTCCAGAAAAATAACAACAAATCCTATCATTTGATGATCTATCTTTGATTTATAAGATGCTTTCAATGTAATGTTTTCTTTAGTAGCAGTAGCCAACGGTTGTTAGGAGAAAGTTCTACAACAAGAAGTTACAATCGATGGTTAATGGTATTGATTGCTCTTCTTCTTGCTTCGACCATCATTTTTTCGGTCTTCTTCGCACTTGAAAAAAACAAAAAGAAAACGAAGGGTAATGAGTTCGACTTCGTTTTTGATTTTAAATTTTCGACATGCTAAAATTTATTTATTTTCAGGCGATGATGATCTATGTTTAACACCTTATTGTATTAAAGCAGGTACGTGTGTCTATATTCTTTTAACAATAGATTCTGTAATTTAATGATTGTAGCGGATTATTTATTGGATTCCATTGATGAAACAGTTAATCCTTGTGAAGATTTTTATCATTTTGCTTGTGGAACGTGGCTAAAAACAGCTCGTATTCCTGAAGATAGTAAGTTTCTATCATTATATTGAACGGAAGGGAACAAAAATGGAAACTTGTTTTTAGCTGGTGTGCAAAATATCTTCAATCTTTTAGATACGCAATTGGATTTAAATATAATCGGTATAGTTGAAATTTTTCTTATGTATAGTTCATTTATTTTTATTCAGATCTTTTATCTTCACAATCATCCAATGGAACTATTGAACCAAAAGCCATTATAAATGCTCGTAATTTATACGATTCATGTATAAATGAGTCTGGTATCGAAATCGATGGCGTTGAACCAGTTCTCTCTATTATCAATAAGGAATTTGGTGGATGGCCTATTTTGCAAGGACCTTCATGGAATGATTCTACTTTTAATTTAGTAGATATTCTACTCAAACTCCGTAAATATGATGACGGAATTATATTTAGTGTTGTTACAGCAACTAATCAAGAAAATTCATCGATTTATGATATTGAAGTAAGTGAAATTAAATCATGTGAGTTTTCGTTTTTTAAATAATATATCAGCTTGGACAAGGTACGCTCGGTCTACAAGAAACAGAATATTACAATAATGAAACAGATATTACTGCAGCTTATCGTCAATTTATGACTGATTTAGCTATGGCGTTAACAAATGAAACATCAACAATTGCCAATGATGTTAGTGCAATTTATTCATTGGAAAAGAATATTTCTCAAGTAATTTCTATTGAGCTTAATTTTTGATTTTATAAAAAATTATATGTTTGTTTCTAATTCAGTATCATTGGACTGAATCAGAACAACGTCTTCGAGACAATGAAACGATTCGAACACATGTTGGCAATATTTCAGAGTCATTCATGACTAATGTAGATATTTTTCTAAATTATTTGATTCGTTTGTTTTTTATTCATATAAAAAATTTTAGTTTAATTTTACTGATTACCTTCGTCAATCTTATCTTATTGGCAATATAACTTTACTCGATACAGATATCGTATCAATTAGTGAAGTTGCTTATCTAGTGAATATTTCTTCCATTCTTCAACAAGCTCCACCACGTGTTGTACAAAACTATCTCATTTGGCGTTTTATGATGAATCGTGCAAGTAGTATGCCGAGGCGAATTCGAAGTACTCGTGAACAATTCGACCGAGTATTCAAAGGCACTAGTGCAGAACCATCACGTACAACAACTTGTGCCAATTATGTTAATGATAATATGGGTTTTGCTGTGTCGAGACTTTATGTTCAACAGTATTTTAATGATATTGCCCGTAATCAATCAAAAGAAATTATCAAAAATATTCGAAGTTCCATGATGGTGATGCTTCAAAAAGCAACATGGATGGATGATAAATCGAAAGCTAAAGCTGTTGAAAAAGTAATAGAACGTTTTCAAAAATGAATACAACATATTAATGAATTTTTTATTTTTTTTATAAAGGCTAAGGTTATCTATGAAAATATTGGTTATCCTGACTATATAGCTAGTGATAATACAACGCAGCTGGAATTAATGTATGCGGAAGTAAGATCATCGTTTGATTTTAATTGGTTCAAACATTTATTCTATTTGAATAATTTTAGTATATCTTTAATACATCGTATATTAGCAATGTTCTTCAAATGCAGCAGGTTAAAGCTCGAGAAGACTTCCGAACACTACATGAAGTAGTCGATCATCATGCATGGGGTGATCTTCCTCCAACTGTAGTTAATGCCTTCTATGAACCATCAACAAATGCTATATGTAATGCTTGATCATCGACTAAAGCATTTTATCAATATAATCGTTTATTTTTTCTTTAGCTTTTCCAGCTGGTATCCTACAAATGCCATATTTTAATAAGGATGCGCCAAAGTAAATTTATATTTTCTCCGTACGGAACTATCTAATTTATGTTTTGCTTTTAATTTTAGATATCTGAACTATGGTGGTACGTAATATTTTGTTCTTAATAGATTCAATAGGCATGCTTTGATTTAGGTATTGGCATGGTAATTGGACACGAAATCACACATGGATTTGATGATGATGGTCGTCAATATGATCAAGATGGAAACCGAATTCCTTGGTGGTCAAATGATACCATAAGTCAATTTAATCAACGCAAGCAATGCATTATTGATCAATACAGTAATTACACAGTGGCTCAAATTCATAAGAATGTCTCTTTTCATTTCATTATTTATTCAGTTATATATTGATAGAATTTGTTTTAGATAAACGGTGAGCAAACACAAGGTGAAAATATTGCTGATAACGGTGGAATCAAGAGTTCATTCTTTGTAAGTTAATAAAATGTATTTTTATTGTAAACCATTCAAAATTATAAAATCTTCATTAAATAGGCTTACCAAAACTGGGCTAAAGAAAATCCAAATGTTGATAAAAGATTACCAGGTCTAAATAAATATTCTGAAGAGCAAATGTTCTTTATTGGATATGCACATGGATGGTGCGCAAAATTCACTGATGCCTATGCTTATAATAGAGTTTTAACAGACGTTCATTCTATTCCAGAATTTAGGTATTTCTATTCTTTTTATTTGTTTAGTTTTAGAAATTAGTACATATAATTCTACTTCTAGAGTTCTTGGCCCATTGTCGAATTTTGCTGAATTCGATCGGGTATTTAGCTGCACACCTGGCCAAGGAAATAGTCGAGTGAACAAATGTGCTGTTTGGTAGTGTGCGTGTGTTGATTTAAATAAATAATATTTAATCGGTTCATTTTTCTTTCGTCACCTTCTTTGATACTGAAATTAATAATGTATCGTTTCATAAAAGTCACCAAGAATTCTTGATAGACTGACTCTACGTTGATTGTAGAAATATTCTTTTTCTCTTTTTAAAAGTCAATATGAGAAACAGTCGAAGTTGATGTATTTTATGAATATTGATCAACATATAGCATTTTTCTTTTATTAAATCAGAAGCAATTCTAATCTATTTCAATAACTATTGTAGTTATACATTCGTAATTAACACTTTTCTAATGCGATTTATTGACACGAAAAGATTTTTTTAAATAAAATACAGGGACCCATATTGTTCCAAGTAGTATGAATAAGGGAAGTGTTCAGAAATCAACCGAATCATCTAATCGACGTGAAATCTAAACTTCCAGGTACTGAGCCATACTCTCAAGAGGGAAATGAGAGACTCCATCTTCTTGCAGTCAATTGGAGTCCAGCGGAGTCAGATGGAGTCGGCTGTTTTCCCCTTGGTCTTTTCTCTTGTTAAATCAAAGCTCTTTATTTTTAACAACAAATTTAGGTTCTGTTGCATGAAATTGAAATATGTTTTTTCTAGGCCAATTTTTTAAACAGCACATGTTCTCTTGCTTGCTCTGGCCAGTAATAATGTCGAAAGAAAAACATATATAACGAAGCTTTTTATGTTGCTTTTCTTTCCTTTTTCTGACTTCGATAAAAGGAGACAAAGCTATATGCATTAATCACGTTTGCTGTTCTCCATCGTCATGTTATCGCATGACTTTTTTTATGCTTCATCATTCTGACACACGTAGTTCAAACAATGTACCTTAGAAGTGTATATATTTCATTGTTCAATTTACATAGTATTTTTCTTTTATTTATCATACACTGCACTATGTCTTCAACAATAAAAATCACTCCTCGTCGTTCACAGGAACGTGGGCATGCTGATCATGGTTGGCTAAAAAGTTTTCATACATGGTCATTTGCGTCCTATTACGATTCACGTTTTGATAAAGGTTTTGGCTGTCTACGTGTCATGAACGAAGATCGAGTTCAACCAACGACAGGATTTGGTACACATCCTCATAGTGAATATGAAATATTTTCATATATTGTTGATGGTGAACTACAACATAAAGATTCAATGGGAAATAAAGAGATCATTCACCGTGGTGAAGTTCAATTTACGTCGGCTGGAACTGGTATTCAACATTCAGAATATAATGTTAATAAATCATTGTGGGTTCATTTTATTCAAATATGGGTTAAACCAAATCAATCGAAGCTTAAACCATCTTATACAACAAAACAATGGTCCGATGAAGAGAAGCTCAATCAATTGTGTTTGTTAATCGATGATGTGAATAGTTGTAATGGGAAAACTATTGCCATCCATGCACCATTATCGATGTTTGCTAGTATTTTACAGCCGAACAAATCGATTAAACATGTTTTCAAAAGAACAAAAGGATATATTCATTTAGTTATGCGAACTGGTTATGATGTAAAAAATGGTGCAGAAATTCGTATTGGACAAAACGTTATTTTATACGAGGGTGATGGAGCATTTATTAATTGTGATGAACTAAATAGTGAATTCTCTATAGAAAATATTAGTGCAATCAATGCTGAATTTTTATTATTTGATCTTGAATAAAGATTTCATGTTGGAACAGAGTTTCAACTCTTATATAAAATTATAGAGCAATCGTATTTCATATTTTCAACAATTTTCTATATCTTATAAATCAAATAAGCATTTTCTTAGACGGATTCTCTCAATTTATGTAGACTTGTATCATACGGTACTGGCTTCGTAGCAGTCCTACATATCCTGTATTTCCTATATTTTAAAAATTTATCCTATAATAGACTATATTTTGAGCTTTTTTCCTATATTCCTATATTTTTAAAAAAAAATGAAGATTCTTCTAAAAAAATTCAAAAACCTGATAAGTGTTCAACACATTATTTAAATATTGTCAGTAACAATTTGCATGGCGCTTATTTCCTACTGGCTCATCTAGATAATGTATATAGTACACTCTTTGCATTAGTTGTCTTTGTATCAGTGTTTTATCCAGAATTTCTGGATATGTTACATCTTAGCGTCAGTGCATGGGACCTAGATGGGACTAATGGAGGGTCATATTGGAGCTAAGTAATGAGATTTTGTGGTCAAAAGTTTGTGATTGTAGTTTGCGAAAACAAAATAATTTTTTTGTTTGCCCAACCGGCAAATGTTTTTAACCTTTTTTGATATTCCGCCTTTTAGAATTTCATAGTAGGCTACGTCAAATTTCATCGAATAATAAGCATCCATTCAGAAGTTATAACGGTTTGAAATTTTGCTAAAATCTTGGCAGTATTTGAAAAAAATTCACAACGTTATAACTCCTAAATGGATGCTTACTTTTCGATGAAACTCGATGCAGCTTACTATGAAATTCTAAAAGACTGAATACCAAAAAGGTGTGGGTGTGGATGTGAATGTGTGAGTATTTTGTTCAGAACCCCATCCACACCCTAAAGTGCACGTATGTCCAATAGTGAAAATAAATCGAACATAAATTAGTTTTTTTATGTTTTAAGAAAATCTTGCTACTCCATTACTTTTCAAAACTCAATAATACTTTTATTTTACTGATTATATATACGTGCAAAAACAACACATTATCATCTTCAATGCTGTTGTCGTGATTTTTCGGTGTCTAAATCTTTTTCTGGAATAAATTTGTCATCCTATATTTTTCCTGTATAGTTGAGGGCGATCCTATATATTTTAGACCTATGCTATATAGGAATTCCTATATTTTTTGAGAGAGCCGCTGCGATGCCAGATCATACGAGATTTTTTCTAAATAGAATTTTAATATTTGAAAATTACACTGCAAACGAAAAGCAACTAAATATTTGTTGCTAATTTAAGTGTTTTATTTGATGTTTAGATGAAACATTATCTTATAAAATAAATGAAATGGTAATTATTTTTCTTCAGATTAACTATCTATGATTTCAAGTATAGTTTTGATATGTTTACTGATGTGTAATATTCGCAAGTGGTGCAATATAATTCACAATCTGTACAAATGGATATATTTTAAGTCTAGACGAATAAATACGGTAGTTTTGCATTGGGCGTTGTAGTAAATATCAGCAATAATTAAAAAATTGACAAAATTCATTGTAGTATTTCAAGCAATGTTTTCGCCTCTCTAGTGCATTCAAAACTTCGTGGAACAAGCGTAAAATTGGTCTTTTCCTCAAAATCAATTTCTTTTAATTTTTTATTCACTTTTTGAAATACCACAGCTTTTCAATTGTTCAACCGTTTAATCCAGAATGAAACCTTTCTCTATAAACACGTAACTGTCGAAACAATGGACAGACGTGAATATCACTGAATCAACAAAATAACGATAAAGTTTGAAATGATTCCTATGGAGAAATCGAATCTGAGCTGCAGTTTTTATTTTTACAATTTTCTTTTAATCATTAACCATCGGGTAACTGAACGCAAGTTACGATACTTTTCATGAAAAACACATTATAAAATATCTCAATAGGTTTTATTTTATTTTCATGCTAGATGATTTATCATGAGATTCTCTAAAAAAACATAGAATATTTCATTTCAATATAAACAAAACGTTGAAAAAATAAAAATTTGTCATCTTTCTAAGTTACATTTTAAAGTCTCTTAACTTTTACTAAAGGATCTCAATAGCACCAAAATTTAGAAAAAACATGCTAGTGATGTTTTACAATAATACATATATTTGGTTCATAAATTTATTTAGTAAAACAACCTAAAAAAGTAGATTTCTTACAGTTGGGTTCTAAGTAAAAGATAATTCATTTTATCCAATAGTTTAAGATTTTCAATGACTTAAAAGCTAATGATTACATTTGTTAATCTTAGAATAGAGAATCATCTTTCATTATAAAATTGACGATTTTAGTTTTCGCTCGTCTTTTTTTTTACAGCTTTCAGTTTTGTATTTTGTAAAATAAAACGGCAACGTTGAATTTGAACAGAATTTCTCGATTCATATTTTGAGATGAAAAGAATCGAAAATATCAATATAATTATGTGCGAAAAAGTTACCACAAAGAATTATCTATTTCTTGTCAATAAACTAATATGTCGATGTTTGCAGGTTATGTGTAAGTGCCATTAACAGTTGCAAAGCTCACTAGCTTTCAAGATTACATTACTCTTGATTTTGAACATAGAAAAAAATTCATTTTTGTGTAGATGAAATTCTAAACAACAACGTTCATATCCCAGCAATGTGCGCAGGTCATTCGTTTTCAAATCGACCATTCTTATACAGATATAACGGTTAGTATGAATGCCTGAACTTTTATACAGGTACTCAATATCAATGACTTTGTATTCATTACGATTACATCTTTATAGCTTGATCAGTATAGTATATCTCTGAGATAAACAGCTGGATTTTCACGGAATCGGCTGCTTCTTTATAAACACTCTGTATCGTTGAACCTTCTTAGTTGATCTTTTCTGTCGAGCATATCTTTTCTCTAAAATAAAAGATTATTTCTTGTCCCAATCGGATTCTTATGAAGCATTGCCAAGAATAATACCTCTACATTGTGAGAAATGAAAAATACTTTTATATATTCACAGTAGAAATTCTATACTTTAGGAATCTAAATTCATAGAAGAGATTTGCTTACTTCTAGGAAACGGATAACTTATTTCCATATTATTACCATTATGTCAATATCATGAACAGAAAACAGACGTAGATCTAGAGGTATACACGAGACTATAGAAATACGGTGAAAAATGAAGGCGTGGCGAACTTCGAAAAACGCTTCTTTTTTAAGCCTTTTATATTTCTATTTGATGGTCATCGTTTTGATTTTTATTAATATTTACGATTAAGTTACCATACAAATAGCTTCATGAAATCGACGAAGAAAAATATTGGTAGATTTTCAATGTTTTGATACAGGCGTATAAAGCGTTACAAGTAATAAGCTTATGTGTTGAGTATATATTTAAATGTATTTCATATATTTACTAACCATTTATCTATTAATTTATAATTTAGATGACAGATGTTTTCGAATAAAAATAGCAAAATCATAATGCTATAGATCTGAATCATTGTAAAATTATGCTTGTAACATCATTCACGAAAAACGTATTTTACTAGAAATTACTACTTCAACAACGTTTCAGATAAAATGAATTGATAATAGCAGAACGATTAATTAAAAACCCGTGAAACAAATTGACGATTGCTCGATGTTTACTACCGTGATTTTTGTTTTCATCGTAATAAAAAGGCTTCAAATATTAGTAACGTGTTTTTACACAGAATATACTAAACCAATTGAAGGTTGGCTATGACAAACTATTTGTATTTAAAGTTGATACTATTACAAATATTTCTTTTTTTTTTGGATAACTGACCCTATTAGAGGTGCACTGTATTGATTTTGTCATATTTGTACACATGCTTCTAGTATTTGTTTTCCTCAGAATTCGCTTATTACAGAAATATAAAAAGAAATTTCATTGATTTCTTCGTCGAATAACAGACACATGTTATTTTCATTTATTTTGTTTTTCCCCATTGCATATTTTGTTTAATAACGCCAATAGCTCGTGTATACGAGATACAAAAAAAATAATTGATGTTATGCTTTTTTTCTATACAATTTACAGGTGAGACGATAAAAAAAGGAAGGTATGGGTCGTTCACATCATCTAGAAAACTTATTTTCTTACTAATATTCAATCTTAATAGTAGTAGATTTTAATTACGTGAAAAATAAGTCACCTAGCTGTTGACTATACTTGTCATTATTTGGACCATTGAAAATAGATCGTTTTTGAAATAGTTACAACAGAAAAAATAGCTAGTCGATATTAATTTTCTTTTAGATTTATTATCATGTCGATGGTCCAATTTCCTTCTCCGCAAGAAAATTTACTCCCTGAAGATATTATACTAGTTGAGTCTGCAACAAATTCTCAAGATGCCACAGTTCTCGATAGAATCAAAGGCTCACTCGTTGGTCTTGCAGTCGGTGATGCTGTTGGAGCAAGTGTAGAATTTCGTCCTCGAGACTATCTGGTTGCTAATCCTGTTCATGACATGATGAGCGGAGGTACATGGGGCTTGAAAGCTGGTAAATGGACAGATGATACGTCTATGGCTTTATGTCTTGCTTCATCCCTTATCACACATAAAGGTTTCAATCCTTACGATCAGATGGTTCGCTATAAATGGTGGTACAAAGATGGGTATTTATCGTCTACGGGATATTGTTTTGATATTGGTAAGGCAACTCGCGATTCATTAGAAGAGTTCCAAAGGCGCCAAAACCAACTGAAGAAATTATTTAAATGTCGCACACAATCTGACGTTGATCAAATACCGTTCGATCGCATTACGGCCATCGGATTTGATATAAACTGTAGTCAATCAGGTGCCGCTGGAAATGGTGCACTGATGCGACTTAATCCTGTACCGCTCTTCTTCTATAGAAAACCGAGCCAGGCTGTTGAACTGTCAGGTGAGAGTGCTCGTCTAACACACGGTGACGAAGTTGCTGTCGATGCATGTCGCTACTATGGAGCATTGATTGTTGCAGCTATTCTTGGAGAAAGTAAAGGAGATCTTCTTAGCGATCAATTTTGTCAAATTCATATGAGTTGGTTTAACTCTCAAAAACTTGATAGCGATATTCTTCGTGTTGCTGCTGGATCATTCAAAAAGCGAAGAGGTTATGACGATGGAATTCGAGGGAAAGGACATGTCGTCACATCGCTCGAAGCCGCTCTGTGGGCGTTTTGGAGCACGAATAATTTTAAAGAAGGTGTGCTCAATGTTATTAATCTCGGTGATGATACAGATACTACAGCAGCAATCTATGGCCAATTAGCGGGTGCATACTATGGCTATGATAAGATTCCGAATGATTGGAAAGATAAATTGTACGCCAATAAGCTGATCGTTTGTATCGCTGAATGGTTACAAGTTTTAGGTCAGCCAGATACGCAACCAGTCCAACGACAAAGAACAAGTCGAAATGTGTCTGCTATTCAGCAAACAACAAACCACATCGATGTGAATTTGCAATCATCTAGAGAATTCAAATCAATGATTAGTGAAAACTTGCAACAAAATCATCATGAAAAATCTAGCAAAACAGTTCCACGATATCCTCGTTCAGGAATTCTTATCCAATAAAAACAAATGCTTATTTTCAGTTCGTCTTACGTCGTAATATATCATTACTACTTAGATAGGTACTTTTAGTTTTTAACCAATATATGATTTTATAAAAGTATTCTTTTTACTTTTTTTTTGTCTGAACGTTTGATTTCAATAAATTTCAGAGGAATAACATTTGAAACTCGAAATCTTCTAGCATAAAATTCCTATCGGAAAGTTTCTTTAAAAGATTTGCAATCAAATAAATCATTATATCAAAATCCGTTTTTGATTAAAAACAAATTGAGGAAAATGAATAGAGATATCACGATGAAAACGAACAGTAAATAATTGCATGCAATTTTCTCTCCAACTTTCAGTATTCTATCATTTTTCTATCGAAATTCATTCGAAAAATATTCATGCATCCTTTTCGTGGAACTTAACATATGTTTTCGAAGATGATCGTAGTAAGTTTTAAGGTGAACTTTTTTAACTTTCCATTGTGAGCTCTTCATTGTAAATATTATCAAATCATATATCACACTATGATATATGCCAAAAAAAATTAATATCTTTGCGAAATATTTTCTCTTTTATCTATTTTACATGAACCCAGTTAGACTAGAATGAATGTGTAACTTGCACATGCTAGTCCCAATAGAAATTCACTGATACTTTTCTTTCGATAGATACTAAAGTAGGTCTACGCATCATCGACTAAGTATGACTGTTGATTGAATTGAAAGATTTTGTGATTTATAAATTTTATAAATCAATTTTTTCTTCTTCTCATAAAAATCATCAAAACATACTTTCTAATAGATCTAGAGCTTTAACCTTGTAATCTTTATCATCGTCGGGAATTTCTTATCTGTGTCTGAGAACATGATGTGGTCTGCAAGTGTAATTAGCAGCCTGCAAGATGTTGTTTTTCGGAGAAAATTTAGTATTTTATCATTCCATCCTGTGTCACTCAACGAAATAACTACAGACAAATATTTTTATTCAAATAAATGAACTTGAAATTTCAAATACTCAGCTATAAATACTGTAAATAATGAATTATTAGAATAAATTTTATAAGATGATTTCTCTTTGGATGACAACGCAATGAATTATATGGAAACTCGATTGATATTCTTGAATTCATAGGGGAACAACAAAAGCATTATCAAGCAAGATTAATGAATCGAAGAAAGTATTCTAGAATAAAATGCTACATTATTTATAGAGACATATTTTAAATTCATTGATCAAGAGAGTGAACACGTACGTATACGAAAGTTTTGTAATGATTTACTTCATTTTAGTTCAAATCTATTCATTTATTCATTATTTGTTTCTAGAAACTATCAAAATAAAACACGATCAGCTACTTATGTCTTCGGACTAATATCTTTGAAATGAGGGTTGTATAAATTGGATACTTATTTATTACGATTACTTTTTTCCAGTTGTCTAAGAGAAAAATCAAATGTCAGTAGATGAATACGAGCAAAACTATCATTAGATTGTTCTCTTATTTCAATCGAATTGTAATAAAGTGATCTTTTCGATGTTTATAAAATTAGGTTTTAGTGACACAGAAAAGTGAATACGTCAATTTTGTATTTAATACGCATACCAAGATTTTAGTTTTGAATTACTATGATGAATTTTCAAGCAATTCTTGTTTACTTTGTAGAAGATCAATACTTACGTTAATCCACATAAAGAAAACAATGAGCCAATATTCGATGTTCAATTTTATAGCAAAATTTATTAGGAGGCAATTAGACACTAGCATAACAAGAAAATCTTACTTACAGGCATTAAATGCTAGTGAAATCATAAATCATTAAAAAAATTACGTACACGCACGTCCTAAAAAAACATATAAACGTACCTCAACGAAAACAAAATGGCAAATAACATTTAGATGTGAATATCAGTCATCATAAAATCGATTCGCTTATGTTAAAATCATCTAAAATCTGTTCATTATCTATATTTCAATAATTATAGTTTTTTTTTAAGTAGCTATGAAAATATTTAAATAGCTGGTCATACGTATGATAAAATCAACTACTGAACGAATTTTATTAGTTACAATTTCAGCAAATATTTCATTTTAAAAGATAAAATCTAGAATAGTTATTTTCCATTAAATTAGAAACTTGATATTCACTATTTATACATAAAATAGATCTAAAGATACTCATAATTGTTCGTTTCATGAGAGTGAACAAATAAACACGAGAAAAATAATTTTTTGTGTGATGGCAAAAAAAATATAAATGTAGGGTATCGAATGGCAGTCTTCACATGCATGTTGACTGGAAAAAGATTCGAGAGCTCTTTTGTAAAATTGTAAAAAGAAGAGAGAAAAAAATATAGTCAGCTACCATGGTATGTACTGCGTCGAGATGGAAGCTACAGTTTAGAGGCACGAGGAGGAGAAGTTATGCAAAATGCTGACATGAAAATGAAAGAACGAACAAAACTGTGAAAATAACTCGTATAGCAAATCATATTATAATTTGCCTACCATTGAAATACAGACGAAAGTGAGTTTAATGTTTGTGCACTCTTCACCGGCATACATGAAACGCTCCTTCTCACAATGCACTATCTTTGTGTTTATATTAGAATATTTGAGAGAATTTGACATATTTTCTGAAAAGATCTACTCTCTAGAACACAGAATATAATGTATCTATGTGAGATAAAGAAGGAAGTGAGAGCAAATATTTTGAATAAAACAATGAGTTCGTTACTAAACAGATTAAGAGATGACAATACAACAAGACTGCCTGAAATAGAAATGTAAATCAATTGACTGAGTCAACGCTTCCAATAACCGCAAAACGTGTAAAACGTATCAGATGCTTTATTTAGAAATCCTCCAGTGATTTGATCGCATTAATATTACATCTAAATCAATACTTCATTTTAAAAAAAGTCTGATCAAATTAGTTTCCGGTTATCTTACTGTGTGATTTCGTACCATTGAAGTCCTTAAAATCGAATCCTGTATTTTCTATTTTAAAATGTTTTAACTAATGTTTCTGCTGTCCTCATCATTGCACAACGGATTAGCTTACATTTTGCATAGAGAAAAATTTTAAATTATTATCAGTTTATTGTATTTAACAACTTTTAGGCATATGCAAATATTCATGAATAAATTCTTTAGACATAGAACCTATGACGTAAAACTGAATTCGTTTCGAATTTACACTTCTCCTTCCACATGTTAGATTTAAATACATCCCAAGTACTTAGACAACTAGTAACGATGTAGATTTAATACTAACTTCAAGAATAATAATAATATCTCCCATAGGCTTATCGCCCGTTGGGGCCGGCGCTAAAGGGTCCACAAGCAGCCAGGTTCTATCGTGTTTCCTCTTTTACAGACGACGGTATCTGCACCTCATTCGTCCAACGCTTCCCCCATTAATGATTATGGGTTGGCGGTCATCATAGGATCACGTGGCCGTGACATCTATGTTGAAGTTATTGTTTTAACTCTGCATACTGACACTAATGACATAATCGATACGCTATCGGATGAGTCATCCGGAACAATTAGCCGTTATAGGCCTCAAACAGACCAAAAGAATAAAACAGAATTAAGCAACGTGATTGGTTAATTCACACCTAAGTCATCTTTTTGGTCTGTTTGGAGCCTTAGTAACTTGTTCAGGGTTATTCCACGGTTGGTGATACTGTGGTTTGAACACAGTACCTTGTGAATATGTGTCGAATAACATATCCACTCAACCATGGCGGCAACTTCAAGAATACCCGATAAGAAATTGATATAATTGAAATCACACAATAAACATTTTCCTTGTCAGCTCACTTATAGGAAATTCTGTGAAACTGTTTCTAACAAAGCAAAAGTGCTCAGTTTATCTACATTTGTTAAGCTTTTTGCTTGGCAATACAGTTATTTTCAAGAAAAAGTTTTGCAATCTAATATGTTTCTTTATGAAGCTAATATATCTATACATAAATTATCTGCACTAGTATATAGTAAACTTTTGGAAAAATTTCACTGCATGGCATATGCACGAAGTATAGCGAAATGTACTATTCAGATATTATTCAGGTCCGCTTGCTTCTATTCTTCGTAGTAACCATAAAAAACAATCTTGACTATTATACATATATAAAAAAAACTGTAAAAATTCCAGTAATTTTTTAAAAGTGTTTTAGGAATTTATCTGACTCTATTGCACCAGAGCTGAGTTTACTGTTGATTTTTATTAGCAATTGATTATTTCTTTATCAAATTGATTATTGACAACCGTTTCTTGTCTAATTTAGATAAACAGCATCACACTTGAATGACTACTGAAAAGAAATCAAAATTGAAAATCAAATCAGTTAAAGAGAAAGAAAAGCAGCCAACAGTTAAAGTAAGTCAACCTCCAGACGATGAACAATATGATAATATCAAAATACCACCCGATGGTGGTTATGGTTGGGTTGTCCTTATTGCCTGTTTTGTAAGTGTATCGAGCAATTTGTTTTTTTCTTTTCTTGTACAATTATTTTTGTTTATCATACAGCTAATTAACATGATTATTGATGGATTTCTGTATGCGTTTGGAGCAATTTCCGATGATCTGAAATCGCATCACAAATGTCAAGAATGGGCCGTGTCTCTTGTCATTTCGATTGCATGTAGCTGCTATTTACTAAGCGGTAATTGATCTAGTTGTCTTATACTATGTTTGACGTTGTCATCACTTTAGCACCTCTTGCTTCTGCTCTATGTAATAAATGGGGCTGTCGACCAATAGGTATGATTGGTGGACTAATTGCAGCTGTGTCTGTTGCAGCATCTGTTTTTGCACCGAATATTCAACTCATGTGGTTATTATTTGGTTTCATTGGTGGAATTGGTATGGGTCTCGTTTATTTACCAAGTATTGTCATGGTTGGATATTATTTCGATGAAAAACGTGCTATCGCGACTGGTAAAAAAGTTCGACTACATTCTATCGATTATATTGTTCTTTAATATTTACTCATAGGCATTGTAACTGCTGGTACTGGGATTGGTTCGATCACATTCGGACCTTTATCACGTTTTTTATTCGATCGGTTCGGTTGGAAACATGGTCTTCTTATTCTAGCTGCTATTCTCTTGAATTGTGTAATTTGTTGCATATTTATGCAGCCACTTAAAGCGGTTCGTAAGCGACGTATTTTACAGCCTATCGAGTTGTCGTAAGTTCTTGTGTATTCACTTGTCACAGAGTTCATACCTTATTTTCATTATTATTTTTTTTTCTAGTGACGTTGCTAATGTAGCTAATCCAACAGTGAGTTTTATTCGCTTTGTTTCAAATTCATTCAATTTTTGAATCGAATGACATTTATTTTCATTTTCTACACGATTTCAAATTATACTTCCAACAAAGTCTACAAATTAGATATTTTGTAGCATTTAGATTGATTTTATTTTCAATAATGAATTATAGTTTGGATGAAGAATTCTAGGTCAATTTATCTGGCCTAGGAGAAAGTCTATCCACAAGCCTCTTTTGCTTAGAAAACATAAGAGTGTTTTACTTTTAGATTTATGTATGAAAAGATTGTAAAGAACATTGAATTTTTATTCATGTTTTTGATTGGAAAGTCGGACATTGATTCCTTGATCCTTTAAAATTTAATTGTTTCAGATGTGAAATTTTCAAAAAAAGTTATATTCTGTTTCACATAGCTACCTGAAAAATCTTACATCCGTGCTCTTCTTCAAATTGTAAAGTTTCTGTTTATGCTGATAAATTCTATTTTTTGAAACATTGACGATGAAAAACTCTTATGAGGACTAGTTTTCGTGTAATTAAGTCTCAATCAAAATGATCCGATAGGAAGATCATGACTTTTCATTTTGAAAAATCAGTATTCGAAGTGCAATTTTGTTAAAATCAATATATCCTTTTATACTTTTTAATTTCTTTCCAAACTTAACCAGACGTGTCAAATATTGATCTAAAATTGACTTCCCACGTTGAAATATCGATTTTTTAATTCTTCAGTATCCCAATGATAATCGATATAATCAATCATACTATTCTAAATGAATCTTACATCATTAACTTCTCATTTGTAGGTAACATCTCCTTTGCTTAGTGAAAAGCAGGAAACCGATGTGAATGCTAAGTCGCCATCTACAAATCATTCACATGGCCATTTAGATTTATGTTTATCTTCGACGGAAAAACGATCGCGAACAAATTCAACTGCTTCAATCAAATCACGACGAAGCATAAAAGCTGACGATGCTATTCGTCCGTAAGTATTTTGCTTCTTTCTACAGATACCAACAGTTTGATTATCATAGAATATCGTTGCTTTTTTAAATTTCGGGCAAACAGTCTAACAGACTGTTAGAATTAAGTTACGAACACATTTAACAAGAAATACATGTTTTAGGCTTATACCTAACTTTAGAAGGAGAAAGAAACTAAATTGTTCTACCCGTACTTTGACTTTGACAAGAGTAAAATATCGAAGTAATTCAAATGCCTCACAGTGAAATTAAAATGCATAGAATCTTAAAGAAATAATTTTTTCCTGCAAGATTTTGTTCAGTTTTGATTTTCACTCGATAGTAAATAGGATTCAGCCCATGCTTATCACTGCACATGATCCCTATTGCATAATTCTATTGTAATAGAAATTCTAAAACTTAACAGAGCATCGTGTCATATATCAATCACTTTGATCATAACGATCATGGTGAACTGCCACAACTACTGAATGTTGTTTGTTACTTTGATAACAGGCGTACATAATCTAAGAACTCATTTCAATGAACATAAGAAACTCATGATGAATGAAATGAAGGGTCTATTTTATTTGCGGGTATACTTTATTCTGTAAGCGTTCGAAGATAAAACTATTGAAGTTTTTCTTGATTCTTCTCAACGGCTTGTTTAGTTACGTTAGGTTAAATTCAATTTTATGAGTAACTTTGTGTATTTCATTTATATCATGTCAAACTTTCAAGCCATTTTTTATCATTAAAATTTTTGTTTTTTATAAAAGCTAATTTAATATCTACCCTTCAGTTATTTTAAATGCGTTCTTGTATACCTTTTGAATTTGATAGTATGTATCAAGAGGATATACTCTATCCGGGTGATATACATAACCTGCCAGAATACAAAGCACAACCGGATTCCTCTACTTACATACAAGAGACAACAAAGGTACCAGAGGCGAAAACACCAAGCCGAATGAAAGCATTTTGGGATACATTCCTATCCATGACTAATATACATGTTTTGAATGATAATAAAATGCGTATTATCTCTTTAGTAAGAAAAAAAGACAATTGAAGACAACTGTAATTCTGAATGATCGCTCTTTTCTTTTATATACTATAGGCTAATATCTGTTCGATGATTGGTTTTTATATTCCTTATTTATTCATCGTTAAAACAGCTATTTATGAGCGCAATGTTACTGAGAAAAACGCCGTGTATCTACTTTCGATCATCGGTTCGTATATTCATCGTATTTTCTCTATAGCTCACTGTTAATTAAATACTTTTATCAACATGAATATTCATTATTCGTTAGGTTTTAGTAACACAATCTCTCGTTTTACTTCTGGTTGGATAACGAAAATTCCGTACATGTCTCCTTTACTTGTCAATAATATTGGTTTAACCATTGCTGGTGTGGCGACATTGTTGGTTCCACTTTGCAGTACATATGAACTTCTGATTGCTTATTGTATCGTTTGGGGCGGTGCCATTGGTAAGTTCTCACAGTGTATGCGTTTTTTATCAGTACATCATTTTGCTTTATGATTAATTAATAACAAGTATTCATCTAGAATTGACTCCAATAAACAGAACATCAAATTACTAATCCTGAAAAAAGATCAACTTTCTCATAGCTTCCATTAGCAATTTAGTAAGATAGCTCGATTTGAGTTGGTTATCATGCATGTTAAGAAAAACGTGTATATGCTAGATATTCATTATTGGAACCTTTTTTTGTAAAACTTATTGCATACTACTAGTTCGATTCAAAATATGCTGACTGATATTAATCATTATCACGTGAAATCGACATAGACCGATATTTCTCTAGTAGAAAAGAAAATAATAGTAATAATAATTCCGTTCATTTCGTATGATATTCTTCTCTTTATTATCTTGCCGTTACATGCAAGACAATATAACAAAAGATTTTCATTTTATTCTAAAGATAAATACACGGCATGATAGCGTAGCATTCACATTATGGTTTATCTTGTTTTTCTTTTCTAACATATTGGAGTTTTTTTCCAAAAAATTACAAGAATCTTATATTTAGAACATAGAATTTAAATAGAATGACAAACAATGTCAAGATTCATCTTTTTCAGTATATAATTCATGCCATTCAGACTGGTAATGATAAAGATGAGAGATTTCCAACATTGAATAAGCTCCCATACCTAAGCATGAATAATTGCGTGCTTTTACGACATCAAATATATAGATCTCGTAGAACGAAACAATGATATTCTGAGTGAACAATACGATGCAGGTCAACGATGATCGTTTATGGAAATCTTACTATTAAAATTTTCTGGGTTTATTTCGACGAAAAACGATTCTTACTAAGTGTTCAGCTCTTTAGTGAGAGAAGTGAACACTTAGTTTATCTTAGAATATGATAAGTGGTATCACTACTCGTTAGACTCTGTCTTGGTATAAATCGCCGACAAAAAAATTTGAAAGAATTTCGTAGAGAAAAATATCGAAGTAAAATTGTAAAAGAAAAATATGGGTGTAATTTTAAGCAAAATTACGCTATCATTCACAGTTCATGGCATAAGCGTATCCATTTTTCGAACCTTCGATCACATCGACTTCTTTGAAAATTTATCAATTTAATTTTAGTAAGTACAGTTCTGTAGAGAATCAAGTCATATGATTCGAGAGCGATGGATTAGAGCAAAAGCAGCAATTCTGTTACTGACATCATGTTTAAAACTAACCACTGTTTTTCTTTCGAGTCTTTTATTTTTAACAGTTTTTGAAAGTTTGTCTGTCGCGGCATTTACCACTGTTCACTCCAGTTTATTGCATAAAAGACGACTTGACATAGTGTTTTTATGACTTTGATACGAGCTTTCATTCATACTTCGGAGTCTCTGTCCTATTGATATATCTCTATCGTGATCCGATTTATTATCGCTAAGAATAATGCTAAAATGGCTAACACCTGTCAAAATGAAACTTTGTGAAAATTTTATCTAATTTTATTTCTGTAGACATGACTTGATTACTTCTGAAAGACAATAATTATACCAGCTGAGAGTTTCGCTATTAATATTTAGGTAGACGATGAGTAATTGACTATGAGTTCTCTTCTAGGCTCTACCGTCACTAAATAAAAATTAGTTAATAATAAAACTTGATCTATCGTTGAAAAAAATGTCGAAGATTCTCTTGTCAAATGAGCGGCAACACATATTGACAGCATGAAAAGCAACATGCAGGGATACATAAAAACAGAGTTTGTAAAGCAGCTTTGTACAATAAACTGGTTTATCACTAATTATGATTCGATTTTTGTGAAATAGGATATACGTATGTCTATATTCTATATTGCCTTTTATCAGATGGCATTGACTGATGATACTTCGAGATGATTGAATCATTTGAAAAAAATGTTATTTGCTACTACTTATTTTATCTGAACATTGCTTGGAGACTATACTCACTTAATGAAACATTTCAGAAAATGACATGATCTGAAGAGAAGAGAATTGAAAATAATAGTATTTTTAATTATTAATATGTAAAGCATTTAATCATTTACAATAATGAAAATTTTTTCACTTGTAGCGTTTCACATATCTCTATCGCCAGTTATAATCTGTGAACTCGTTGGTCTTGAAAAATTCAGCAGTGCTTTGGGCCTGGTATTTTTGTTTAGAGGTATTTCTTCATTGATTGCTCCACCAGTAAGAATTGATTTCTATTTCATCTCCATTAAAATTTCTCCACTGCTTCATTTGCTTAGGTCATGGGTGCTATTCGAGATTTCACATCAAGTTTCAACATACCATTCATTATTAGTGGTATCAGTTTTCTTATCAGTGCTCTTATGCATTTCATGCTCATGTGGATGACTCGTAAGGAAAAATCTCGATCAAAAAAATCAGAAGTTCAAAAAGCTGTTGATGTAAAAAATACAACTGTCTGATTGAATTTTTATCATCGGCTTTATAACTTTGACCGTTTCTTATACTCAGAAATCTTGTTGCACATGTATGTGATGAAAAGATATCATTCATAAGTCATGAAGCTACAATTCTTTGATTAGATTATATTAGTGTTAAAACTTCAATAAATAAACTGCTATTTTGTAAAACAATCATGATTTGCCTAGAATCTGTACGAAGAAACTTCACTACTATTCATTGGGAATACCATTTTTATATCAAAAGTGAATTTTTTGTAGATATTTCAGGCATTCTAATTATGCTTGTTCAATGAAAATTGAATTGGTAAAAATCTCATGCATATTACTTCAAGTTTTTGTGTTTAAATAAATTGGCATAATTGAATATCAGTATTCTTCATCGTAACTAACGAGATAATCCACATTTGAATTACCACTCACTACACGATATGTTCAGTTTTAGATGCAAATAGCCATCAGTCTATTGATATACATTGCTTGATCATTATCGAAATAGAAGCTTATCAGTTGACCAAGTTGATTCCACTAGTGTAATCATTTTTGATAAGAGAAATACTAGCGTGGATGAAAACAAGTTCTATTCTATTGCTTTATTTGATAAATGAAATCATTTTAATAAAAACTACACGTTTCTATACGCGAAAAAAGAAGATAGCCAAAGAGGGACAAGGAAAAAGCACAAGAGCAAGAGAGAGATAGATGAAACAAGAAATGATAAAAAATAGAAGACAGGATAAACAGTAAGCAGAAAAATCATAAAACAAGATAGATGTGTCGGTAGCATAAGAGTAAGCAATTCTCTAGTAAACAATATTTAGTTATAGACGAATAAAGAGCAAAATGTGACGCAGTATATGATGGCAAGTCAATGTTACATCAGTCTAAAGACACAATTATTACAATGAATAAATGAGAGTTAATAATGATACATCATGAACTCGATTATAAGTGTTACAGATGGTGATGTAAATAGTTGTTTTCGACTCCAATCCAATCATAACATATTAAGTCAAAGGTTAATTAAATCACACTAGACTTTTCAGATCGATCGTTTCGGATACTAGAGACAACGTCTTATGCAGTATATAATTGCTAAAAACTTGCCATCGTTTCTTTTCGATGTTTCTTCCTCAAGTTGGTATGATGAATTATGGTGTTCAAGGTCGTGATCTTGGATCTGCCAGTTTACTCACATCCTTCAGTCAGACTTAACGACTACCACAATAGAGTATTTATTCTCCTGAAAAAAAAATAAACTGACCTTATGATCTAAATAACACTTCTTTCAGTGATATTTTAGATTATCGAGTGATAACAGGATAAATATGCAAATATCCGATTAGATAAAATAAGATTATGAAAAACACGCCTAAAGAAGAGATGAATATAATATGACAAGTCTTTATTTCCATAGAATTTTTTTCTAGATTTTCCATTTAATCTAAAATATAATAGAAATTTTCTATTGCTAAATCGTCCTATGGTGTAGTAATTATTGTTTAGTTTGATTGCATCACTGAATTTCACTGAAAAATCATTGTCATTACACAATAGGAAATTTATAATAATAGAATACTAAAAAACCCATAGAACTCAAAGTAAATATGATCTCAACTATTCAGTCTATTCTAAGATCATCATTTGTTTTGTTAGATACAATAAGACACACTAAAATATTCAGATTTTTTCATTCTTGATCATTACCTTAAATATTAAATGGTTTTGTTAAACGATGAAACTTGAAAGAATTCTCCTGCTACGAAATAAATAAAAGTACTTGCGATGCTTTTCTCAGTCTTCTCTTTGACACTCAAGTTTCTAGCGTTAGTACACAGAGGTACTGTGTTTAAGTGTAGAAACAGATTAATTACTATTCGCTTTTTATTTGTGCCGATTTTATAAAAGTAAAATGATAAACATCAAAACTGACCAGCAACATATTAGTTCAAACAAAGATTTGATAACAAGAAGAATACGGATAAACGATATCTACTAAAGAATTGCATTTGAAAAGTATGTAAGAACAAGTTATTTAGATGAACATGATTATTGTCGAAAAAATGCAGGCATAACGAAAACTAACACTTGTTCAACAGAAATTTCTTTCGGAACAAAAACAAATACGTATTGCATCGTGAGCCTTAAAAGCAATTGATATCTCTTTTAAAGACATCATCCTGATTAATTAAAAAGATCAATATTGAACTAAAAGAACAAATGGAACCAACGAGGGAAATATGTTTACTTGACTAATGGCATTAGAGGAAATCATGAGAACTCGGTTAACTCATGCTGATGAAAAAGTCTCACATTTTATCAATTTTCTATGTGATACATCTTTGCAATGGTTTGTAAATTTCGAATGAAAACATTGCGTACATCTTTTTTCTTATAAGAATTTAAAGAAAAATATCCATATCAATTTTAAACGATTAAATTTTCGGAACATCTTAGGTAAGAACCACTACAATTATGACAAAAGAATTTGTTGCAGGTCTACATTCATTTATTTAGAATCACCATTGACCAAATTACTACATATGAACGAATTAGCAACAAGTTATATCGTTTGTGAACGGATCATCCTCAGATAGAAACTTATTTAGTGACCTGCGTGACCATGGTTTTTAGTCACGGTCACGACATGGTCACGAGCTACCTAGTCACGATCACGGTCACAGCCACGAATATATTATTAAGTCGGTCACGGTCACGGTCACAGTCAAGCTCATAACTGAAAGAATAATATGAATTTTGAAAAACTTTTAATCGTTAGCATAAATAATCTTGATAGGTAGCAACATCTGTTAATGATTATTACGATTGAGGTGTTTTTCTAGCATAATATTAGTTTGCAAAAGACAAGTAACATCTATAATGCATTATAGATGTTACTTGTTGGATCATGAACCATGGTTCATGATCCAACTGGATAAGAACCATTTCTATGAACTCCCTTTCATCAAGTGTGTAACAAATTTCTTTTAATCTTGCATATCATGGTTTCTAAACCACTTCAACGTGATCAACTCGAATTTCTTCTGAAAAACAATGACAAGCCGATCAAATTGAAAAAATTTGATCAAACCGATCGTGGTTCATCCTTGTTCCCTGCCTTTAACGAAATTCTTGTCAACGGTGTTGTTCAAATTTTTGTTCTATGTGATAAATGTCGTTCAATTATCACTTATAAATCTACACCTGGTACTGGTGGTTTAAAAAAAACATTTAGCATCTTGTGAAAAAGGTGCATCATCATCAAATACAACACAATCAACTATCACAGCGTATTATCGAAATAGTAAATCGGTCTTACCAGGAAAACTTAAAAAACAAATAACTAGTGCTTATCTTGATTTTATTTCATTGGATAGTCGACCATTTGAGATTGCATCTGGTGTTGACTTTCAACAATTTATTCAAATGATTTATAATGCAGGAAGATTATTATTGAATAGTCGATCAATTGAAATATCTGATTTTTACCACATCCTACGACAGTGAGTACACTTTTATGACTTTAAAATCACATAATGCTCATTATTATCATCGTAGGTAAGTCGTAAATAGACCCCGTCGGGTCCAATAACTTTTCAATTCGGACCCGGAAAAAGAAATACGTGTGGTTTCATCATTTTTAAAGATATTGCACTGTTCCAACATGTATCTTGTAGAGAAATGATTCCTCT